AAAGAAGCTTCTATATGTAGAGCAAAACCCTAAGATCCTTCCTTTTATTTGAATCTCTCTCTAAGCTGAGGTAAGAAAGGTAAGAGCCCTTAAAGTAAAATTTCTGAAAAGCAGAGGAGAGACTAATCTTTTTTCTTCAAGCCTTTTTCAATTAAAAATGGCAGCCAGGGAAAATCTCTGTAATAAATAAATGTACTCAAACACTCAAAATAATTATTGTTACTTTTATGCGAAGGATTAGTAAGCACAAATTATGATGCATGTTTGGATATGATAGTTAAGTCCCATCCATTGAAACAAGATGCATGAAGATTTTTAAAAAATGTTCACAATGCAGCAGAGTTTAATACATGAAATACATTCCTAAATGACAAGAACCAAAGGGGAAAAAATCATTCTTATTCTATTCACAAATTGTGTTTAGTACATTTATGCGTATTTTGTATGAACTATGTGTTGTGTTAATTTTTGAAATGCTCTTTTTTGTGATTAGCACAATGATACTTTACAGGATTTTATAATTTTATACGTAAGTAAGGTAATTTACGCTGACAGTGGCACAGCTCATAATGCAACCAACAGTTTGGAGAGATAATCATCCGACTATAATATGCGTGTTATTGAGTTCTTTCTAATTATTCTGATTCTGTATATTACCTACCTGCGATTTGCGCTTTGATAACTTTTTTAGCTTTCAACTGTCAAGAAGTCCGTTTTTTTAAAATCTGCGAGTGTTTTTTGCGCCAATAATACTGTAGAATGGACCTTTCCTACAGTAAGTACGGTGTGGCACTGGTATTCAATTTTTTCCCTCATTTGAAGTTACGTTTTTCCTGGCTCTTGTCATATTGTATGATGTTCCAAGAAGATGTCATTCGGCACACCCACAATACCTTTATTTTCAAATCACCCGCCGAGCCAAGATGTGAGTCATTGACCAATGGAGGGTCTTTCCTTGTTTCAGCATCGAGACAACGTCCGCCAATCACTGGCCAATCAGCACGCGCCAAAGATTACACTTCACGGCACTGAAATGTGAGATGCCCTTGTGCTTGTTATCGGTATTGGTTATCTGGCATCTGCTCGGCTGCTTGTTGAAGTTGCAACTTAAAAGTGAAACGACTTGAAAGCATGCTGAGTATCAATACCCGCTTAAAATTTTGAAGTCAAGAAAGTTCAGCCTCACCTGAGTTTTCGTTTTGTATTTACAAGTGATAGTTCTTCCGGAGTTTCCTGCAGTTAGTTCACGTCAAAACTTCGTCTAAACTTCCCAACCATGATTGAACTATCTCCAGTTCCGAAGTCATGAATGATCTTCGTGGAAATTTCGTATTGTGTGTTCATCATCTGCACCTTTTCTTTCTCAAGTTTGCCACAATTTAAGAAAGTTACTGGAGTAACAAAGCAGCATACTTTTACCCCATAAAAATTTAACCTTTTAGCCTGAATCGTTTTCTGTCAAAGAATCTTCATGTTCAAGAAAGCGCTCTCATCATTCGTCCGACAGTGTCATGGTAAAGCTCATAACTTGGATGCTTTTGAAGAAACCCTACAGCTAAGCAAAACATTGGAAAGGTTGTCGCTCGTAGACTTCAGTCAATGTGAAGTAGAATCTACCTTGAAGAATGCTTTGCAACTGGCTGATCAGATTGTCGCTGTGAACACGGATGGCGTAGAACCTTTAGTCACAGTTTTAGAAGATAGGTAAGTCAAGTCACATAGCATATTCTTGTTTAACTTCTATTATTAAGTCTTACAAGCTAATTCAAATTTTCTTGACTCAGCACTGCACATAAATGTAGAGTGGATTAACTAGTCCTAATGGAGGATCAAGTGAATGATTGAACTAAAATGTACTAATGCAGTAATCAGTCGAGTAGCATCAAGTGAAAGTAGCCTGTTTCAATTTTGATATGACTTCGAGCAGTGTTGCACTTGCAGCATCTAAGATGAGAAAGTTACTTGAGCTTGATGTGAATCTGATGCACCAGCTTTCAGATCTGCAGTCTGATCGTTGAAATTTACTTATGTCGGCATGACAAGAATCGAAAATATCGAAATATGTTACACGGCGTAGATAGGGCTATGTTTTGTCTTATCTTGCCGACATAGCCAGTTATAGTTTCAACTATCAGGCTGCTGGTCAAAACTATAAGGGTTAGCAAGATTTTTAATTGTATGTTACAATGAATGTTATCTGCGGCCTGACAGTTGAAATTGATCTCAGCACGACTCATGGAAAATTGAAATATAACATTATATGATAAGGTTTATCGACGGTGTAAGTCAGCAATCACATATAACTCGTTTGGGGTGTCTGAAAATCTCCGCCTCTATGTTATTTTTTATAAGAGAACAAATTGACATCATTCCTTGAAGATTACGCTGAATTTTCCTTGCATAGAGAAGAAAAATCACGGAAGTTTTAAAGAATTGCCGTTGAGTAGTTTTTCATTTAAAAAATATCGTATGACAGGAAGTCTGCGACGTTGCAAACTGAGTTATGTGATTGCCGACTTACACCGTCGTTATGTCTTGTCGTATCTTGCTGACAGGATGAAGTTTCAACAATCAGGTTGCTGCTTAGGGAGAATCTTGGAATCACCACTCAGTTCTCCAGAAAACACGTCAGGGAATGTCAGTCTTTAGAATGAATAGGGTCTTTAGGGTTAAGTAATCCTCGTTACTCTAAGGTAAATGATATTATAGGTATGAGAATTTCCCTCTCATTACTGCAAAAGTAGGGTCATTTTTCCACCAAAGGAAATTTCAAATTCCGCACTCACGAAGCAATATACATCATAGAAAGTATATTTGTCTAAGCACTCAACTTCGGGCGTGAACACATTTTTGACAAATAAAAAAATTAATGTTTCAACTGTCATGGACGGAGTCAGCAGGTCTGACTCTAGGTCAGTAGGTCCCGGCTTCGAATCCCAATAGTGGCGCCTTCATGGTACTAATGAGTGGATCTGCAGGAACAGGTTCTACTTGGCCTTTATTCCTGAAAATTTGTAAATCATGAAGCATGGATGTGCTAAATCTCTTGATGTCAATTGACAATAAATAGGATAATAGTACATACTCACTTTTTCTTTTTCGTCCGATTTTCTTGAAATCGAGCGAAAAAGAAAACGTGAGTATTATCTGATACAACCCGATAAAGGAGGAAAAAGAAACAAGAAATAGAATCATTGGTTGGCTGTTGGTTCCTACCAGAACATAAGTTAGCAGGAAAAAAACCAATATAATATACCCCTGTGCAAAACAGTGGGAAAGTTTTCGCTTGTCAACTTGGTCAAACGTTTAAAGTTACAGTTGAAACTACCCAGAGTCATATTTTTTAGGGCATCAGTGTGTAGCATTCCTATTTCATTTTAGTATTACTGATTGTTAGTGGACAGAGCTTAACAATCGGAAATTTTGTCTACAGGGAGGGTAAGAATGAAAAAAGTTGGTAATTTTTCAAAATTTCTTCAGCAGACATCTTACGCGCTACTCGTCTGCTTTCTTTAGCTAGATCAGCTGATTTTAGCAAAAAGACTGGTGGTTGCTGGTGAAATAGAAGATGGCAGTGTAGATCATTGGCATAAGCTGTATCATCGGCTAATTAAGTCAAGTGGAAGCGGTTCGTATAGATTTTGGGAACAAAAGGGCTCCACACTTGTACTTACCACTCTTCGTCGTATTAAGAGTGCTTACTGACATGCTTGAATATTTTTTCTTTTCCATTTGAGACCACAAGTAGCTTAAGATAATGATTTTCCAGTCGATAGGTATTCATTTTATTATCTTTGCTGTGTCTAGAGAGTGTTGTCAGTAGATCCTTCTTGGCAGTGCTCTTTTTATATTTAGTGGATATTAATTTTGTGATATTTTCAATGTGGACAAGCTTATCCTTGACAAATCAAAATATGCATAATAGTGCTCAAAGGATGGAAGAAGATTATGTCACAAAAGAAAATGGTCGTATCCTTCAATACTTGGTACTGAATACTTTTCCTACTTAATGGACTAATTGTAAAACAATGCTGGATTTAATGGATAGAAACTGTGGCTCAATGAAATCATGAGCCAGGAAGTAAAATTTTAAATAAATTATAAATATTGTCCAAATTTGAAATCACCCTATTACTTATGTAAAACCTATCATAGAAACTTAACGTTTTGCCCTGCTTCTCATAAATTAACAATAACTCATTGCTTTTACTCTCAACTAATTCAAGAAAACAAAACTGAATGAGCTGTCAGTCTCCAGCTGCGTGATTTTTAATCATGTGGACTGAGTGTAACAAGGAAGAATCAAGCACATTGACACATTGTAAAAGTACCTATTAGTGCAGAGGAATCAATAACGGATGTGTCATTTTTGAAATAAGCTTTAAGTTTTTCTGCTTAGCTCCGTCTTGATGTGAAAATTCTTTAGCTCCAAAAAAGGAGACAGGGAAGTTAATCGAATGTACTTAAGTTTTCTTGAACTCTTTACATCAAGTCACATGAACATCCGGAACCATGATCTTTGAACTCAGAATAAAGGCAACTAAGACGGAGTGTGTTCCATGTGTATAGTTGACCACAAACAGACCTTTTTTTAGAAGACAAATCCCTGTGTGAGAGACTTCGTTAAGAAATTTCCTAGCAATTAAAGGAACTAGTGGACTTATGAAGGTGGATTTTAGATTGCTCGAAAACCTGGCGTTACCCAAGTCATGTTTACCTAAATTAAATAATGTCTACCATATTTGAGCAAGAGTTAGAATTGATCATCCTGGTTTTAACTCCCTGATCAGATGGATGGTGAAATGGGCAGTTAGTTTGAAAGAAGCTCTTTCAGCTAAAGCAATGAACTGAAAAGAAAAGAGTGAAAAATATGTTGCCCTTCTGCTTATCTTTATTCTTTGCATGAGGTGTTACGAGATCCACAGGAAGCCCCTAGCATTATAGAAGAACCACCTTTGCGCTGTTCTTGATTCTCTTACTATGATAACCATGACTCACATCATATGTCTGTTTGTTGGCAGACCACAAAATGGAAGAGAAAATGGACCTGAATGTTTCTGATTCTGTCATGGACCAAGAGGCAGCTCAGTCAAGCACTGTTGAAATCGCCACTTCTAAAATGAAGATCAGTACGGAGGATATCGCTATTTCACTTCAGCTTTTCAATAAAAGATTGAATGAGCAACTGAGACCTAAAATCAAGAGTCAAAGATCTTTAGCGGATGTTTATGCAAGTATGAAAATGTTTAATTCTTACTACAATGACATGCAAAACTACATTGAATCAGCACGGGACAATTTCAAACGACAGTTGGGAATTATTTTGGGAGAAAACTGGGATCAGCAACTTCTTTGCATTGAGAACAACCCCAAGTCCTCATCTGAGAGTCATCAAAATCATGGATGTGTTATTAGCGAAACGGGTCCAGGAAATGGTCTCCCAAATTTTCCAACTCAGTATGAAGTTCGCAGCATTTGTGATGTTGATGAGAAAACAGAGTCAAAGGAAACCTCCAGATCATCTTCAGCTTGTGCCAAAGAGCCTCAGTCTTTTGGTTCCAATGATGTCGATGTTAAGGACAAATCTGGAGAAGATGTTAATTCAGACCATCCTGTATCGAAAGGGAATATAAATGTCTCAAACAGTCTTGAAAGCTATGACAGCAGTAACGACCTCCCAGAGGCTGGTCCTGCTAAAGAACTAACGCCTGATGTATTACTTCCTTCAAGCCAAGGTGATTTCAAGAGTGATTCAGATAAAACAGCTCCCCACCATCCTGAGAGCAATTTGCCCAGCAGTGATACAGGTGAAGACAAGGAATTGCATTCTGACTCAGGGCCAAGAATTGTCTCGGTATCGACCATTGAAAATAACGGGTTTAGTTCCTTGTCAGGACAAAAGCCACTTTCTCAACTGGAATCACAGATGTCAGAAAGTCTTTTGCGTAATTTGTCACCAATTTTGTTTGCCGAGACTTCCAAGGACCATAATGAATTTGAAGGTACAGAAAAGTCCATTGAAAAAGCTCCAAGTGATGTTGAGTCAGAACACAACGTAATTGAAGCTACACCTGTGGATGTGGATCAAGAACTTGAAAGAGATAACTTTATCCTAACACCCACATCGTCAAAAAGAAGGAATGAAGTGGATGAAACATCCAGAAAAGTTTATGAATGGCTGAACAAGTCTCACAATTCAGAAAGTATCGGAGGTAGCTCTGACGAAGAAGAGTATCAAGCTGCAAAAAAGTGTGTGGATGATGATGCCCGAACAGAAATCAATGATGCTGATTCATCCGTAAAAAACTCAGATGATGGTGACAACATTGCTGTAATAGACAACAGCAGTTTAACTTCTGTAGATGGACGGGTTTCAAAGACTGTCAAAAAGAAATCAGGTAGAACAGATGATATAATTGAAATATCTGATGATGAACAGTCAGCATCGGAAGTTGTCGAGTCAGAGAAAACGGCTAGACACAGCGATGATGTTTGTGAGATTAACTCCTCTCAAGAAATAGGTGGGTCCATGAGTATCAAAGATTCTGCAAGGCCTGATAATCATGTATCAGAGTCCTCAGATACTGAATCAAAAACAGAAATGGCAAACAAAAAATCAAAGCAGAACTCCAACCTCAATTCTCGTGCAAGTAGCGAAAAGTCAATGAGCAACAATGCAACTCAACAAATTCACCCAGAAAATGTGGATGAAGCCAAACGCACCCTTCTGGAGTCTTCGTGTTCCTCAAATGAAGATGTTGAAAATGGGGATCACCTGAGTGATGATGATTGGGATTCAAATGCAACTGTGATAGTTGATAAGAAGAAAAAATTAAGGAAGAAAAAACGGAAAAAAACAGGCTCACATGACTCTGGCTCGCATAGTGATAAGGAAAGTTCAGATGAAGAGGAAAAAGTAAAAAAACTTTTGGACTTTAACTCTCTAAAAAAACGCAAAAGAGTGTTTGAGTCCAGCAACAGCTCTTCAGAAAAGTCAGCTGATATTTCAAACGATGAAAATATCACCAAAAGAAAGAAGAAGAAAAAACAGAAAGATGAGGCGGATGTCTATGATGAAAGCCTTGAACCTGAAATCAATGAGCCAAGTCTCCCAAATAGTCCTAACAGGGCTGAAGATCAAAGTAAAGACATCTATCGGCAAATGTTATTGGACTCCAATTCCTCCCCAAGCTCTGATGAACAATGCCCTCTTACTCCTCAACCAGAAAAAGTGCCCAAAAAAGTCAAGAAAACTCTTGAAAATGACACTGCGAAACGCAGGAATTCCTCTGAAGACTCTTGCAAAAAGAAAAAAAAAAGAAAATATGATCCCCTTCTCCAGGGAAAATTTTCACTCTCCAGCTCTGATTCTGATGGGAAAAAGAAAAAAAACCCATCTGAAGAGAGTGAAATTTATGATCGCAAGTATGAAAGATTGTTAGAAAAACAAAGAAGGAAAGAAGAATCAAAAATGCGTCATAAGTCGAGTAGTGATGACTGTTCAGACGCTTCTGCTTCCTCCAAAGAGCAAAACAATGAGCCAATCAACTTTGTAAGTGTTGATCCAGAGTGTGTAGAACTGGAGGATGATTCTGAGGATGATCGCACAACTATCGGCTATCATCAGATATCCTCATCTGCATCTGATGATAATGATGATGATGTGCAGTGCATTCCTCAGTCGCAAGAAACAACAGCAAGCAACAAAGGCCGCAAAAATATTCGGAAAGTGATTTCTGTTGAAGAAATGACAGCAGAATCCAAACGAGCTGCTAAAGAAGAAGAAGAACGGCAAAAGCGACTCTCAGAGAAAGAGAAATGGTTGTCTCAAACGTTCACCGAGCCAGAACCAGAAAAGCTTGTTCTTGATGCAGATGAAGAGACAAAGCAGCCTATAGTAACAGTGCATCCAGGTTTAATGCGAATTCTTAAAAAGCACCAAGTAGAGGGCTTACGATTTATGTGGAACTCATGTTTTGAATCTATAAAGTTAGTAAATTCTAGTGCAGGGTCTGGCTGTGTTTTGGCTCATTGTATGGGTCTCGGAAAGTCTCTCCAAATTGTTGCTTTAGTCCATACAATCATGTGCCATCCGCAGTTGAATTTACGTACTGTTCTCATCATCTGTCCAAAGACTGTGGTTCTCAACTGGGGTGATGAGTTCAAAAAATGGCTTAGGTACATTAAAGATTCAGACCAAAGTAGCCCTATAATTTCTGTAAGTAACTTGAACGCTTTTAAAGATGTGCACTTCAAAGAAAGAAGTTTACGCGACTGGCAAAATAAGGGTGGTGTCATGATTTTGGGGTACAATGAGTTTCGTGCCCTTGTCACAAACAAAGATCGTCCGGAGAATTTGCAGAATGTTTTTAATAACATAAAAAATCACCTTATTGATCCTGGCCCAGATGTAGTGGTATATGATGAAGGTCATATACTTAAGAATAATGCAGCTAGCCTTACCAAAGCTGCAAATCTGGTAAAAACAAAACGACGCATTGTGCTAACAGGAACACCAATGCAGAACAATTTAATGGAGTATTACTACATGGTGAATTTGGTCAAGCCCAACTATCTTGGAGACAAGAAGGAATTCAGTAACCGATTCTTTAACCCAATCACAAACGGACAGTTTCAAGATTCCACACCTCAGGATGTAAGAATCATGAAAAATCGTACTCATGTTCTCCACAAAAAGCTTCATAATATTGTACAACGCTTTGATGCCAATCTTTTCAAAGATGAACTACCAGCAAGGTATGAATATGTGTTAAAACTCCGCATGTCAGAGCTTCAGTCAAAGCTCTATAAACACTTTATCAGCAGTATAAAAAAAGATGCTGAAGGACATGCTGAAATTGAAAAAAATCGATTGCTCCTTAAAAGTGATAAAATATTAGGTCTCATTTGTAACCATCCTAAATTAGCCACTAATTTTTTTGACTCTGCTCAAAAACCAGAAGAGCAGCTCAACATCACAGGCGATTGGACAGACTGTCTGAAAGGTTTGAACCTTGATGATGTCACCTTGAGTCCTAAAACATTCTTATTTTTTAAGGTTCTCAAGAAGTGCACTGAGAATAAAGATAAACTTCTTGTCTTTAGTCAGCACTTGAAAACTTTGGATTTGTTAGAATTTTTTTTGAAAAAAGCCAGCTGTAATAACAGCACCTTCAAGTCAAATAGTGCGAAAGGAGAAACTTGGATCTCAGGTGTAGACTATTTTAGACTGGACGGCAGTACTCCTGGACCTGATAGACAGAAGTACTGCGACATATTTAATTCAAATAACCCAAGAGCACGACTTTTCCTTCTGTCTACCAGAGCTGGGGCTCTTGGATTGAATCTAACAGGTGCAAATCGTGCAATAGTTTTCGATGTATCTTGGAACCCATCTTCAGACTCGCAAAGTGTTTTCAGAATCTATCGTTTTGGCCAAGTCAAACCGTGTTACATTTATCGATTCGTCATGAAGGGCACAATGGAAGAAAAAAAATACCATCGGCAGGTCTCAAAATTGTCCATGTCATCTCGGGTTGTTGATAAGCATCAAGTTGGTCGCCACTATCAAGAGGAATATTTGCGAGCACTATTTGAGTACAACTTTGACTATGGGCAACGTTCGACTCCTAGACTTTCGCAAGATAAGGTTTTGACAGAGCTGCTTATAAACTTTGATCTTATAGATACTTATGAAGAACATGAAAACCTTTTGATGAACCTACAAGATGAAGAGTTAACTGAAGAAGACAGACTGAAAGCAATAGCTGAGTATGAAGCTGAAATCAACCCTCCGCCTCCGCCTCCACCTCCACCTCCATTCCCAGGATCATCAGGAGTAAGTGGGCCTGCAGGACTTCAAAACCCATCGATCTCTGGAGTATTCTCAAGACCTGGAGGGCCCTTCACTGCTCAAGAGTGGACAGAAAAAGCTAAAGTGTGGGCAAAAAGAGAAGAAACCTTTTTCAAAAAATGTTATAAAGATAAAAAGATCCCATTACCATACATGCCATTACAGCCAGCAAATAAGCAGGCCCCAGAAACGATGTCAAACTCATCAGCAAAACTCACGGGGAATAGTGATAAAATTAGTGAAGCCAAAGTTAACAGCCATACTTGTAGCGATTCAGATCAAATTAAATCTTGTAATCCTACACAAGACAAAGATTCCCAACATCAACCCTTGTCATATCAGTCTGCTTCCAGTATAAATGGACCAAATGTTAATCGTAAAGCCTCTGTCAATCCTTCCTCAGCAGTTGGAACTTTACAGACTGATTTTAAGCAGCCACAGACAGCGGTCAAGAATAGTTCATTGCCCCAGACTTCATCAGCAAACGATAAGAATCAAGTCGGCTCTAATCCATCCCCAGCATTTGCAACCTCACGGGCTGATGTAAATCAAGCGCAGAAAACTATCAAGAGCCATTCATCACTTCCAACTTCGGATGTTAATCAGTCAAAGACAGCTACAACACTTCATAAATTCAAACGTCGTCTGAATGGATTGTCTGATCGGGGCTTCACCGTTCACTGTTCACCGTCCCAGACTTCATCTACAAACGATCAGAAGCAAGTCCGCACTAATCCATCTCCACCAATTGCAACCACTCAGGCAGATGTAAAACGACCGCAGATAACTATCAAGAACAGTTCATCTCTTTCAACTTCATCCGTGAAGAATGCATCAACACTGAAAACTCCCATAGTTCTGGGTAGTTTGGATAGAAGTGCAGAGACTGATTCAAGTTTGAAGCAAAGCAGAAACGAGGGCAGGGACGGAACGATGAATGAAGAGGGCAAAAAGGTAAAAGTACCTAAAGTTCATCTTCCTCAAGATTTTCGTAATAATGTAGTAAAAGGAATTCATGCAAAACAAGACACCTCTAATGGAGCCATAGGAGAAAGCACTAAGACAATTCCAAATCTTTCCCAGTCAAAAGTGAATGGTAAGAGCAACTTGAACGGAAATCAGACAGCAACAACTATAAATTCGAGCTCAGTCAAGCATGGTTTTTCCATCAATCCTGAAATAGAGGTCACTGTCAATCGCATTCCAAATGAAGGAAATCAGCCGGGCTTTCAAGTAATTTCTAACTCGAAACCCAAGTCAGTCAAGGTCTCAAATGCCAACTCAATCTCAAAGGGCAGTGTAAAAAAAAATTGGGACAGTTTGGAGAGTTCTATCCAGAAAAATCAAGCTCCAAAACTACAGCCATCAATGTCCTCTGGCGGATTATATTTTTCTGATAAGTCAGTTCAGCCAAAATCGTCAACTTTGCCTGGCACCTCATCTCACTTTAGAACGCTTGCATCAAGCAGTCACTCTACGGCTTCAACACCTCCAACTTTGAATCAACCATCCAAAACAAATTCAGCCGGTAAATTAGTGCCTGGTATGAAGCAGAGAGTACCTTCATACAGGAATTCTCCTCCTTACCAAGAGGGAAAATCTTCCAGTCAAGGAAATGTGACTCGAAATCTCCACGGGAAATCTAGTCAGAATTCTGAAGATAAGTCTGCTGCTGTAAGGAATGGGCCAGCCAATCAATCTGGTGTGAATAACAATCAGATCTCTAGTTGTAGCAACTCTGGCGGTGGCGCAGTCCCAGAAGGTGATGAAACAGTATCCCTTAGGGATATAATTGACGGGCTCAAAAAACACGTCCAAGAGGTGAGTCAAGTAAATGATGATTTCTACTTAAATTATTCTAGACTGTCTGCTATACCTTTGCCCCTAAAATTAGGTGAAGTTTTAACCATAAAATCACTTATACTGAAAAATCAAATCTTAGCAGTCAATTTAATGCTTGCAACTCTCCAAAGAACCAAAGTAATACTCAATATTACGCATCATATGCATACTCAATATTACTCAATATACTCAATATTACTCAATATCAAGCATCAAAATGTGATGTTGTGACATGAAACTTACTCATCACAGGGTCTACTGAAAAGCAATGCAGCAGAAGATCTTGTCAGTTAGACTCAAGAAAATGCAATTTGTTGGTATCAGAGGAGAATCGTAATCAGCATCTACTTACTTAATATTTTTATTTCTATATCATCGTATATTATTCATTTTTTCATGAAATATCTTTTACATTTTCATCGTCATTAATGACCATAAAACCGTTAATATTACCATTAAAGATTATGTCAAATCGTATCTTCGTAGAAATGCTTGTAAATTAATCGTTTTTCATTTTTCTTTGTCGTTACAGAAATGCAGTGGACAAGATAACCAAAGCAAGAAATGAGTTTAATTCAAGAAATGCAAATTGCAATGCATTTTTATGGGAGCAGCAAATGCTATGTCTCACGGGCTGCGATGGAGGGAGAGATGGCGAAGGGGAGGGGATGATTCCAAAAAGATGCGCGGTGACAAACCTGTGTAGATTGTCTTATCTCGCCCGAAAATTGAACACTTACCAATTTGACCTTATTTAACTGTGATTTTAGTGTACTTTTACATTTAACTAAATATTATAGAGGTATTTATAAGTAGTTATAAAGTTTGCAACTTGCTCATGTTTGTTCTCCATTAAAAATCCAATTTTGTAACTATTTTTGCTGTTCAGTTTACCAAGAAGAGCATCTAGCACAAAATAGTAGTTAGAATCTTTAAAATTTGAACAATGATTACCATTTTATTGCTCTTTTTTGACCAAAATATCACAAGTGTCATAAGCAAAAAATCGTCGACGCTACCATAAAATTTGCAAGCAAAGACTGTTTTTTAGTTTTTTAATGACTCGGTAGTCAAAAAAAGAAAATTTAATGTGTTAAAAATATCTGTTCTTGTGATATGTTCTCTTTACTTACTGTAATGTATATAATTGCGAAAGAAGAATAATTTTTTTTATTATTAATTCCATGCAGATCTTTGAAACAAGTTGAGTCCACCATCAAAATCAGCTAAGCCAACAAGACTCCATAGTTACATTTGAAATGGTTAACAAAGCAAACTATTTGATAAGGTACACAAATTACAAAATTTAAATTCCAATTTGCACTATGAAGATGATAATCAAAATCTAATTTTCCGAATGTACACCAGTCTTATCAAATTTGGCCCCCAATTGGCGCTTGTGATAGTTTGTCCTGAAGAAAATGATTCAATCAAGGTTCCTTTGCCTCTTTTCAAATCAAGTTTAAACTAAATAAGTATTTTCGAATTTTCTGTCAAAAGTTAGGGTTAAAAGACTGATCTTGCTGAAGTTGCATAACAGTTGTAAAATTTCATATGTAGTATGTACATTTAATATCACATGCCAGTGCCACTGTTGATGTCAATTTTATCACTGTTGCTGTGTGTTTTGTTTTGTGATTAGATTTAATTTGATTTGATTTGCTGTAAGTATCCAACCCTCGTTACTCTTATTTTGTCCTAGGACGTTTGCTATCCAAGAAAAAACCAAGGATGTTTCTCATTTTGCTTTAAAAAAAATTCACTTTAATGTGTTTTGACAGATCTGTTGGATGAAAGTTTGCTTATCCGCACAGACCATTACTACAAGTCACTGAGTTGTAAGGACTTTGAGTTAAGTGTTAAGAACAGGCATTTTCTTTTGAAACGTAGTGGTGGTAAAGGTATCTATAATATATTGAAACAGAAAAATGAGCATATTGTAGCCTTGATACCTTAATTTTTGTTGTTTTATTTATATTTTATGCTGCTAAGCGCTTTTCGGCTCACCTAGCCATCTTCACGCATGCCGAAAACCAAACAATCATTCAATCGGTAAGCCTGAAGATGGCCATGTGGACCGAAACGCGTTTCGCAGCATGTAATAGAAGTAAATAAAACAAAAATTAAGGTATTATGACCACAATATTCTCACTCTTCTGTTTTCTTTTCAGTCTTGAATTATAACAATTCAATGATAATTTATGTAGTATCCGTCATAAGTGTTCGAACTTCGATTAGATGATGAAAGCATATCCCTAGAAAAGTTACTGAAAATACAGACTCGGACGAAATCAACCGACAATGGCCTAACTGCTTTTCACAATCTATAATTTCTTTTTAAGTTTTTTTATTTATTTTTTTTTTACTTCCTAATCCTAGATTGAAACAACGTAATGCCTTGAAACCTTTTTGCACTTTTCTCCTGTCCTATAAATAATTTTACAATAATTGAAGCTAGTCTGAAAAAATACTTTTCCCCTTGAAATAATTTTTTTCTGAAAAAAAAAAAAACAGAAAAAGGAAGGAAATTGATGTAAATAGACTTATTCTGGTAAAATCAGTCAAATTATTGTAAAAATTGTTTGAAGAACACAGATGATCCTGCGTCCTTGTTAAATTTTTGTCTGTATCCTCAGTTAAATGCACATAAGTCAAGGTCTAATTCTGACGTATTTCAACCTACCATACTAATCACTGTTATTACACTAAAACATTTTCACAGAAGATTTTGCTCCTGCACTCAGTGCTAAGTGTATTTTACATAATTAATATCAAACTCGAGTAATATAATGAGTTCAACACATTTACACCCATTCTATATTTATTCTTAGATTTTTCTGCAATTTTCAATGCAGTCATAGAAATCGTTGGATTCAACTAATTATTTTTTTGGTATTTTTTTCTTTTTTAGCCATTTTTCAAGAAATGATCCTGCTTATGATTTCATTTGTATATATATGTATGTATGTATATTGAAAGGAGATTAAATTTTGTTACCACGAATTTTGAGGTGTCACTTCTTTTATTATGATTCTCTTAAATTTTTGTGTTAATTTTCTTAAAAGCAGAATTTATGCAAAATTTGCAGAGATAAAAATGTTGTTGCCGTTAATTGAAAGATGAAATTTTCTCAGCTATGATTCCTCTAAATTTTCCTAAGTTTCAATGGAAGTAAATTAATTGATGATGATCTGTTTCTTGAAGCAAAGCGTTTATTCCTTCATGCCGGCAGGGAGGGTATGACAGACGAAAATAATCAAATTTCTCCAAACGATAACAACATGCGGCACAGCGCCCGCACACAGCAATAATCCCTTGTATCCATAAGGAAATGTCGTAAGAAAGCCGACAAATTCACTCTTCAGACCCATTTTTTTGACTTTGGCACAAAGTATGAAGTTTGATTTTAGAAGCTCATTGTGCTCAGAAGGTTGCAAGAAAACATCATATCAAGTAATTCCGAAATCTAGCCAGTGACGAATTCTTCAGTACTCATTCTGTGCAGGTTCTTTAATTGCATTTAAATATTTTAGAATTACTGTTTCCCAAGTGAGTGGAACTGGGCCACAAGACTAAATTCATCTCATAGAGTTTGCACAAATCGAAAGCCTTTGCTACTGTAAGAGACTTTATCTTCGGAATGAATAAGTATACCTGGCAACTTGGAAAATTTTCTGTTTCAGAACTACGTACACGGATAATTGACTAAGTCTCAACTCGCGTCCTGTTTTTAACTTTTTATTTTACAACGTTCAACGAGAGCAAACGTAATCGACGTCACTCTCCATGTAAACATGTTTTGGCATGATGAGCGCAAATCTCCAACTAGATTATTTAAAAAATCCTAATTGAATCCTAAATCCTAAACTGATAAAATATAAGTTCAATGTCAGAAATTGGTCAGTCCATTCCTTATGAAATAAATGGATCTCGAAAAGGCTTTTTGAAAGTGACAACATTTTCCATTAAATGTTGTACAAGTTTAACTTATCTACATTTTTGTTGCAGAAATCTAACCCTACGAGATGACTCTGCATCTCCTCACCCACCAGACGCAGTTTTGAAAAATGCCAAGAAGGTAGTCGATGATTACTTTGTTGCTCCGCCCGGAAACATTCCCTTGATTCCGTCTAAAAAGGATTGAGCAGGGTCAGCAAGTCAGTAACAGGAACAGAAAGGTATGCAACTTCAATCCCTGATTTTTAAGAATAAAAAATATTTTTTCAAATTCTTCTGTGCAATGTCTGCGCAGCTCGTCGCGCATAAGGCCCATTTTTAGGATTTATTCAAATAAGAGTGGAAGTTGTTTCGAGCTTTTTGGCAAGGCCGATTGATTTTCTTTTTTTTATTTTATCCTGAAACCATCATCAAAACAGTCACATGCAAATACAAGTGCATAACACTATGATAACAATAAAATCTTTACGGCGCAGTAACAATTAAATTTCCAAATCATCAAACCGAAGCAGTATCATTGACAGTATCCAAAACAATCTCGCACTTGTGAAATATTATTTCCAATCACGCTACTTGTCTGTCAGATTGCAGTAACTGCTGATCAGCAGGTTAATTGCTTCATCAATCACTGCCTACTTATTTACAGGCAGAGATTAACGTAGCAAGTAAAGTAATACACTAGTCAGTAGGTGCTGCTATGTAAAGGAAAAGCTTCGCAATTGCAAATATATTTAACAGGCGCGGGTTGATATGAGCTACTCAAGAATGTTTATGAATACTGTCACTGATATCACTCGTTGTTGGTGGTATAATACTTCAGAATGTTCAGAATTTTTAATTGTGACCGCATTGTAAAGACAAAATTGTTATTATAATGTTGTGTTGGTGTTTATAACTGCTCTAATGATGGCTACAAAGGTGATAAGATTCAGCACTTGATACAAATTTTAATTGAGGGGCTTGGAAGACAAGGCGTATAAGTGCAGATTTTGCTATTCCGAGAAATAAGTGTTCGAAGTTTCGAAATTACATGGAGCTCTATGGCAGGAAGAAAGTTCAAACTGACTTTTTGATGCTTAAAAATTTGAATTTGGGAGCGAATTTTTCACAGAAAATCCGTTGAGACTAGTTTTATTTGAAATAATTGATATCTCAATTTTTCCCGAAACTGCACTCCTGCGCCTTGTCCTCCAAGCCCCTCAATCAGTTATTTACACAATGCCTTGGTTTTTTCCTATTTTATCAAAGAAATTACCCTTAACGTAAATTTATTTTCTACCACTTTTTCAAACTAAATTCATTTGCCTCATTTTTTAAAAATTGCTGGTATTGAATTATGTTACAGCAATTCAAATCATGGCAAGTTTACTCCCAAAAATCTTAGAATCAAGCGGGCATAGTGGATTTCTCAAACTGGTTTTGAAAAACAAGTCCGTCGACCACTACAAATTTTTCCCTGCTGGTGAACTCTTGTGTCAAAACATCCAAAACGAGTGGATTTACAGCAATGTCATCAGCAGAGACGAAAATAATTTCCTCTTTCACTCTGGCGAATCGTGTTGCTCTTCAACTGCAGGTTTGATGTTTTTCCAAGTTATGCCAATACTTTCACTAAAATTATGTTCAAATGTGGACATCAAAGCTCGTGTTTTTTTTTTTTTCAGAAGAAGATAGATGGGGGAAAAGTCATAGCTGAATAATATTCCGTTGAAGGACTTTTTTTTGGATTACAAAAATATTCGTATTCTGTAATCTTGTGAGAGTAAGTACCTCTCTCTCTGACTTATCTTCAACACTGTTTTTTCATTACAATAGTTTTTGTATAAGCAGGACATTTTTCTTGTATGCATACGGAGACACAGTGAAATTTGCATTGTCGTAATTTTTATTTCACAAGAAAAACAAATTCTGAGGCTCTGTCACTTCAAAGAATGAGGAACCAAAAATCCTTTTATTTGCGGCAATCTACGAATTAACTTCTCACCAATGCCAGTTTTGAGTTGTGTCAAAAAATGTTGACATTTTAAAACTATGGCTGCGCTTTGATTTTCAGTATTCATCACGAGTCGATACATTTTATACCCGCAAGTGATTACGTTCGATACTTTGATACTGTAGAGGTAGTGCTTGCAGGTAGTTTTTTCAACTAGGACGGAAAATTGGTCAGGTGCCAGAGAACTTGATACATACATTTTTTGGTTTCAGAAGATTTGCTCCTAGATTTTAGCGCTTGGGCTCTTAAGAAAAATATCGGTTTAATTGCTCTGTAGAGATATTTTTTAAATTGATGACCCAAGAGACGAGTTATGACTTAGTTGCTTTTAGGGTGGTAGAAAGCCTATTTCTTTGCTAGATGCTCCTTTCGTCAATAATTATTTTTCTCCAACTCCCACTCCTTATAGGGAGGTATGAATCAAATCAGAGTTTAGTGCCTGAGCGTTTAAGATAGCACTGCAGCCATAGTGCTAAAATCTCTCACAGTAAGCTGTATTTATATTCTATCTGGAACATTCATCCAGCCTAATTTACCAATTAATGAAAATAATTCGGGTACATTAAATTTCGAGCCTCTCCAATTCCACTTATTCAACTCTAAGTCATCAAGTACTTGACCAGTTTAATTTTAAATCAGGTCTACCGGAACCCTTTGCCCAAGCCCGTGAACTTTGTGACGAACAACTTCCCTTTGGGCTGGCTGAAACCCGCCTTGAAAATATCACAAACTTCGATCCAATGACGGATGCAAGTGCCACCAGTGAGAGCAGATTCTTCAGGTAAGAGCATTTTAAAGTATTTACTCATTAATAAATTCAAATCAGTGATTGAACAAAACAATTTATTCAGCTGTCCTGGAAATGGAAACACTAAGGAACCAAAAAAGAGGAAGAAGGAGACATCAAATAAACAATAAGTTGATTTAGTCTGTACAATACTGGCTGCTCCAGATCACTTCGCTCGCCTCCTGTCCAGTCACAGTTCAGAGGAAGAGAGAAGATTTAGATTTAGATTTAAGCAAGTTTATTTAGGCTGGCAACAGTAAGACCAGCTGGTCCTGTCTTCCATGTGGCCAGCATAGCACATTCAATGCACAAAATACAACAAACTGCACCTGACAATATTTGCAAAAAAAAAAAAAAAAAAAAAAAAAAAAAAAAAAAAAAAAAAAAAAAAAAAAAAAAAAAAAAAAAATGCTCAAAACGAAGAAAAACATGAACTTGTAGGGCTGAACATACTTTGACAACTTTAAGAAAAGTATAGAAAAGATCAATGAATCGACAGTAGATATAATGAACAATAAACACAAGTGTAATATAATAAAATATAGGTAAGAAAGTAAATAGATAAATAAATAAGTAAATAAAGAAACAAAGAAATAAATCGCCACATCCTCTAGTCAGTTTATACCAGTTTAATTTTTTTTTTTTATTCAAGTCCTTGTTTTTTCAGTAGTTAAGCTTGTGGGACTCTCTGTTTTCGTTTTAATGAAGGGAGTTATCAGTGTAGGTCCAGTAGCTTGTGTTTTTTACTACCAGTAACTTGGAGGTGTGAGAGTGAACAATTTTATTTTTATTCTTCTTTTTTAAAGAAAAACAGAATATTTTAGGGCGATGTAAAATTTAAAAATATGTTTCTCTCAAGATTTTAGGTGTCTTCATATATTGATAGTTATTGCTGCTTTCTACTTTTTTCAGGCCCAAAAAACACACATTACTGAGACATATTTCTTTTGCTATGCCCTCTGCTGGACAGCAATTTTTTTATCACTGGCAAAGGTATAGAAAAATGTGGTGGAGGAAGGTAAGCCGTTTAACTCTTGATATTTTTTTACCAGCCACCTTTGAACAAAACTGTTATTAATGAAAAATCAAATGTCTGCGGACAGGTTTAATTTTTCATCTGAACATCAGCATATGTAGCTGAATCTTCAGTTCAGAATCATTTGAATTTGCAATAATGATCTCATCTAAAACAAGAGAAAAATAAACTCGTCCTGAATTTTGGAATAAATAGAAGGACATAAAACTATTAGACCAAGCACCGTAGAGCAAAAGCTGTACACACTACTCATAGAGGCCGTTTATAAAACATGCAGTGTTGAACATTGGATTTTCTTATTGCAGCTCCCCCCTCCCCAGGTTGGCAAAATTTCATGAAAAATAAAATATTGAAATTTCACGTGAAATATTTCATGAAATTTCAGGAACTTATGAAAGATATTGAAAAATACTGGTTCCTTTTCATGTTTCGCAACAATGTAAAAATTATGACTTCCTTCTATTTTTCTTGTGTTTGAGTGCAGGTTGCATACTCTAGCCTCTGGAAAATATGAAATATTTCACAGCCTTGTAAAATTTCATGAAATATTTCACTGAAATTTCTAATCTTTCATTACTTACGTCTCATGCCCCCCTCCATAATGCACCCTCAGCATAGGTCCACATCCTCTTTAAAAAATGTTATGTAATATTTTATTCGACCCACCTTCTCAAAACAGCATCTAATAATAGCTTGTGGCTGAGTAACTAACAATTTGTGTGCACTTTTCAACTTAGATTTTCGAACAATTGGCCCTAAAAAAAATTTCTAACGGCCCCGCATGAGTTTCATGGACAGTGTTATAAATTCATTGCTTCCCATGTGTAAAATAAGTCTAAATATCAGGCTGTGATAATTAGAAGCTCCCAAGTGCCAATCAAATTTAGTCTTAAACATTGGCACAGCAATAATTTTTGCTTCATCCTTGCATTTTTGCAAAATTTCATGCTCCACGGGAGGTGTCTTGAAAATTCTTTTGACCACTGAAAATATGCTTGTGATGGCTTTGGAAATTTCAGGGTGAAGTTAGAAAGCTGGTCGTGGGCAGGGAAGAAAATGTTGGTGTTAAAAAATTGTACGTATGTAAAGGTTATAAGTACTTAACTAATAAACTGCAACATTGTTAGTTTTCAGCAAATCCTGGAAGATTCAGCTTGGAAGAAAGGAAATCATCTCAATTTAACAATGTAGACTTGGTTTGCATCAAAGCAGAATTTCCGTGGGGACAGGAAACCGTAGAAACAATTCATAATTTTGGCACCTCTTTCTTTGATCAACTATCCTCCAGTGTTAAAGAAAAATTCATGGTAATTGTTTAGAATTCAAAGTTTTAAAGCACATAATTAAAATTATGACTCATAAAAAACTTAGAAAAACCCATGGATTTGCGCTGTTCTCCACCTTGTCACTGTGTCCGAAGGTTGGAACCCAGTCCAGCTGCCCTTTTTACCCTTCGAAGGTCAATCTCAAATGATCATGAAAACAACTTTATCTGGGGATAGGCTGCTGCTAAATGCGGAAGATAAAAAACAATAAATTAAGGGGGAAAATGGGACTGTAGAAGATAGGTAACAATCTCATCCTTAACTCGAAAATACACAAAAAATGAATTGGACGTATTTACACTAAAAAGAACTATGCACCACACAAACCCTATGCACATAGTTTCTTTTAGCATAATTAAGGCCAATTGTTAATCCGCTGTCGTTGCAAGACCTTATAAGATTACTAGTCTTAAAGTGTACGCAAGCACAACTCTGAGTTATCATCAAAAAATGCTGAAAAACTGTAAGACAGAGAAAAATGTAGCTTTCTTTGAGATTAAAAATGATTTCTGCTCTGACAGGACAAGTCGTAGATCAACGTGAATAATGAAATCTCTACTGTGCAGCAAATTATACCATGTTGCCATGTACCTTTATTCTTGTGGTCTTTTTATTAGATTTTAGCTAATTTTTTTAAGATAATATACTATTTTAATATTTATTTCTGGCAAACAGTATCAATGGTTCATGTTAAAAATACTCATAATGTGTTTTCCCAGTCTGAAATGTGAAATGGTTTTTGAGGGTAACTAACTAACTAATGTCCCCAAAAATTGTCCATAATTTTTTATCATTACTTTTCAAAGTAATTCGTCCAAAATTTTTTTAGCACTGACATCCAAGTGTCAGCCCATGCAACAGCTGTCTTAGAACTGGCAATTAGAAGAGAAAAATACTACTAATTGCTCGTTTTGTGTTATTTTTCCAGGCCCGAGAAGGTCGGAAGCAAGTCTTACCACATGTTGTTGAAAGTGTAACAACTTTAGAAGCTGCATCTTTGCTTTTTTTGTGTGATGCTTACAAAGAAGTGACCTTACGTGACAAAACCAAAGAAGTTCTCAAATTGCACCGCAAACTTTCTCCATTCAAGTTTACCTTCTCCACTCCCCCATGTAGTAAGTCCTTTGCTCTAGCATTAGAGAAGTGAATTTCTTAGAAGTCGATCGAAGTTATAGATTCGTTAATGAAGGTTCAGTAGACTTTCTTACTTTCTGATCCTTTCAAGTTCGTTGGCATGGCAATAGGTTTATTTTATTTTCTCCCTAAACCTTGACATTCGTTTTTTTAAGGGAACAGGTTCACGTTACAGGGTGCAGAGAGTTTTAGGCTGCTTGCCTTGATCTGACTCCTAATCCTTCTTTTCAGAAATAGGGATACAGAGAGTTCATTTGAATACAAATTAGTCACAATCCCACCTTCACAATTTCCTCATTCTTGAAAAATTTCCTTACCATGTAGCAGATGAAAAGTTCCCTCTGACATGAAAGTATTGTTAGAAAATTTGAGTGCTCTTTTATTTCCTCTCACTTTTTGGCTCCCCCCCCCTCCAAATAAAAGTAGAAGAAATGAAAGAGGAAGAATGAGATTTTCCCCACATAACACTCAAGTTGATTTTAAGAAATTTTAAGTCTTTCTGTTTTCTTAATGCTTCAAATTATGCACTTGCCTAAACAATATTAAGCAGTATTTGGTTCTGAAGTAATGATTTTTGGATCTTATGATGATCGTCAAATTGGAAAATAATGGAAGTAAAAATATTGACGTAAATCTTAACTTAAAATAATAAAACCAATCATTACTATCTAGGATTTTTGTTAAAAAATGTGAAGAGATTAAACAAATTCTAAACTAATATTTTTAATGAAATAAATTTTAGTTCAGAATTTGTTTAATCTCTTTTTGCACCCACTGGAACTTTTAAAACTCCTGAATTGAAAGAACGAATTTTTTCGCCAGTTCTCAGAAATGTGTTAAATTGAAGTTTTTCAGTATATATTATTTCCATCTTGCTTTAACATCTCTAAATTACTCAATAACATGGTGCCTAGTATTAACTTTTCATTCAAGACGAAAGCCTAGTTTTTCTCTTTGACAAAATAAAAGAAAAATTGTGACTATTTAATGCTACAAAAATGTCCAATCCATTCCTTTATGTTACATAGCTGTACAACTTGCAGACAACCTCTATGAGCTATCGGAACATGTTGGTAGAAATTTACGCAAATCTGGAATCTCAACCTTAATCAAGCAAGACTTGGGGAAAAAGTCATTTGAGTCGCAGATTGCTAAGAACGACGCCCTAGGAATACCATTCACAATTGTGCTGCGGGAATCAACCCTGACTGATGGCATGGTTGGCGTCCGAAGCCGAGAGACAACTCTTGAGGTATGTGTAGAGAATTATAACGTTTCAAGCTAATCTGAACTTAGAATAATGAGATAATATTATTTGCACTGGTGTTCAGTCATGGATGGTTGAACTGACATTTTATCCATTAGGTCAAAAATGTGTATTAATTTTGTGTTTTTAACTATCCATGACATCCATGGGGGATCTCTACCATAACAGATTCCTGTGGCGGGTAGGTTTTGCAAAGCACCTCTACCATTACAGATTCCTGTGGCGGATAGGCGTTACAGAGCACCCTAGCGCGCCGTAAAAGCGACTTATACTTACATATCAAAAAAAAGACAATGGTATAACCTGCATATGATTCTAAAAAATTATTTACCTAATAAAAAAAAAAAATTATCTGAGTCAGGGAGAAAGAAATGAAACTTTTGCTAAAACCCTGCTCTATTGAATCATTTAAGGAAGTTAAGTCATTTTTCAATGTCCTTTTTACCTAATGTTAGATCAATGTGAGAACCAACTGAGAAATCTGAACTCAAAAACTGATCATGAGTTAGCTTTTTTTAGTAAACAGCTCGTAATAATTTATAATTCTTCAAAATAATCAGAGCCAATAAAAGCTGGGTGGAAATTATCCTACAATATTTTTATTTTTTCAGGAACGTATACATATCAGCAATTTAAAGAATCACGCAGAACTGCTTGTGAAGAATTATTAGAGCAGCCTCCTGACTTTTTAGTCTGCAGTACATATTATCCGTGAGTTATTACAACACCTTTGTACTAAAACAGCAACTTTGATGCTTTAAAAAATTTTCCTCTAAAAGTGGATTTTTTAATTTCAAACACAGGAAATGATAAAATGGGATCCTATTTTTTCTCCCACTTTCAAGCCTTATAATTATGCTAGGGGAAATTTTCTTTTAGAAGAGTAATATATTTTTTCTAGAAATAGATCTTTTTTTTATGAAAAATTTTGACTTATCCTTTTTCTAGTTCTGTGCGGTAATTTTTTATTTTATTACAATTTTTTTGTTGTTGGCTAAAAGAATAAAAATGAATTTCATTATGAAAAAAATTCAGGACACTTTTTCATACCATGGTGTCTAGAAACTGTACTTACAGGCTTAGTTTTTTGTTCATCGTTATGAGACTCTCATTCAAATAAAATTATACTTTTGTGTGAATTTCTGTTTATTTTTCATGAATTGACAAAACGTTTAGGTACAAATATTGTACAATAGATCTTTAACTTGACCAATAACACCAATGTGTCTCTCATAACAGACAAGATAGGTTAAGACGTTAGGAATTTAGAACAATTTTTTAAATAATCCCCTTATAACGTTAAGAATGTAGAATAATTTTATAAATAATACCCTAAGTATAATTAAACGTTTACAAAAGAGATCGATCTTATTCATCAGTGTTGTCAGGCAAAAAAAAAACCACTGCAATCATGAAACCCTGTATGAGACAACGAACGTTTTTGCATGAGTAGATTCAATTATGCTTTTTTACAAATCCTAAAACCATGAAAAAATCTGATCTTATGTCCACCTTACAAGTGTCTCCCGTAAAATTATTTTTCAACTTTGAGGTTTCTTTAAGAACAGATGAAATGAGGGTAGAAGGATTTTCAATCCATTCTTTCCTCTCCCCTAAGACGCCATTTTTGATTTGATCAAACTTCTACTCTCAAGGTTTCAATATGAGCTACTTGCGCCTCAAGCTGAGTCTTCAAAATTTAATGAACCACTACACAAGGTATGAATTTAGGCATTCCGATTTAGGTTTTTCTTTTCCCCTGAAAATTATTTCATGTAGAGCATGATCTGTGGAAGAGAAGTTACTGAAATTTTAGCCAAAATATCAGCATTATAAATTGGGCTCAGTAGAAAAAGCAGAGTTTGAATGAATGAAATGGCAGAATTCTTAATGAAGCAGTGTTCCTCCTCGCCCTGTGATGTTTAAGTGTAAACAACATACAATGCCTTAGCCCAAGTGCTAAGATTGACCCCTTTGAACCTCAAAGCTTGGCTAAAACTTTTAAAAAAAGAAATAGAATTAGAAAGACCCGCGGCTGCCCCTGATAGCAATAAGTTGCTTTTTTTTTAAAAGCATTTATCTCAAAACCAACGGCTGATCTAAAATAAAGAAGAAGAAAACAAGATGCTCATTTTTCTATATTGACAAAAACTGAAATGGATGATTGATTGTAAATTCTAGATCCTTTTGACTGACCTACTTCTAACTTTCACTTTCCAAAAATCTTTGGTATGCACGTAAAAAAATACTGACTTAACGAAAGTGATGAGCATCTGGCTGTGCAAATGCAAGGACGGCATGAATATACGATTGTAGAGTTTGTAATCTGCATTTTCACAAGACCACTAGGGAATGTCAAGAATCTTCTTTAGCTGAGCAATTGTATCCTCGTATGAAGTTACGGTGTGCCCTATGGTTCTGCTGTCAGAAAATATTTCATGATCATTTCCTCCAGGAGAGGTTTTGTCCCCAAAGAAGTGAATCCGCTCAGCGAAATCATCCAAAAATTGTAGGCAGTATGTTTTGTCCCACCCGGTTGGGAACACGTCAAAACTGATTTGTCCGCCTGCAAAACATGAAAATAAGACTTTTAAAAAACTTTTCAACCATAAAGTAAAATAAGTGAAGAGGATAAGATAGAGTTAAGAGTTTCAAAGGTTTGTCTTTGTCTTTCAGAAGATGCATGTTCCTCCTGCGTTGCTTTCAAAAGTCTATGTATGAAATACTAAGAAATCCGGCGCCAACTAAATTGCAATATTATTTGATATAATGTTCCTTACGAACACCTGAGCACGATGAGCTTTAAAAGCCGAGCTTTCTAAATTGGCCTTCTTAAATGCATTTACTGAATAAGTTGTGAGACTGTTGCTGTGACTGTAAGGACAGTGCGCCACTTGCTGTTCTCGTTCACAAGAAATTGATTCTCTTCGTCTGTCTCATTCTTCCCTGCCAGCAAGTGAACAAAAGCTCTCCTCGGTCATTTACAAGATGTTGCAACTAATTATTTTTTCTACAAGATATTACCTGCAAAAATACCAAAAAACGCACTTTTCAGCCTTGCTTTTCTACAGATTGGCAGATGGTGAGTGCCAATTTAATCAAAGCTCAACGTCCTTAGGAAGCCTTATATCATATGATATCAAATTTGGCTGGCTCCGAATTACTTGGTATCCAGTGTATGGTCATTACTTCAGCAGGCCTTAATGTTGCAAAAGTTCATTAGCAGTCTGTTCCACTAAACCTTGGATTAAATGAATACCAAACATGCTTGCTAATTCAAAACCGAAATAGCTGAGTTTTTTTCCTCTTAAAATTTTAAATGAAGTTGCCATATTTTTATACTGCAGAGACTGTTACAATACCATTTAAAGTGCGATTTAACTACAATAGAGAATTCTTTTTTTTCTTACGGGGTAAGCATGTATTCATGCATCAAAAAACATTAATATCTTAGTAAGGAAGTTAGCGATAGTAATTTTTGTGGCACAGATTGTGTTTTGGGTGAAATTTTGATCAGCTAACATAGAGCATAATATTTACATTTGCACCTCTGTTAGTGGTCCATCATTAGCTATAGCTTAAAGTACTTTTCTTTTTTGTAAGACATTTTTTTTTGGTAGCCCTGGTCACTGTTAATCTCCTATTTTCCTTTTAAAATTAACTTAATGCACAGGCATTTTCAAATATTTGGCACAATCGAAAATAATGACACTATAAATAATGGAGATGGGTGGTAAAAAAACAGTTTACCTATACTATACGTGAGTCCCAAGTCTGGCAAACTTTCTTTGATAGCTTGAATGAATTTCTCTCTTATCTTATGTTCTTTATCATATTCTTCGAAAGCATCTCTTTGAGCTTGAGTCACAGAACGGCCAGCAGGAGAAATGTTCAACATTCCAGTGCGAAACTCAATAAAAGTCCCACGCTTGAATGGCAATGTTATTTGAGACATATACTTGAGAGCAAAATTGATGAATTGCTGAAGTTTCTCTTCACCCAGGTGTTTCACGATAGTCTGCAAGAGGAAGGTAAAGTTAACAAAGCTATGCATCCGCTATGAATCTAAAGACTGACGTAATGGAACATTGAAGTCATTTATTTAATTGTTGATGGCACTCAAGCATCATGTTGCGTCAGGAAAACGCAAACTAACTTACATTATCTACTTAAAGTTGGATTTTAAAGGGGCTAGGAGATCTCAAACCTTGCGCTGCAAATTACAAAAACTAGGCAGCTTTCAAAAGTCAAAGTGTTATCGAAAGTGACCATTAATATCAAAGTGAAATATAAGGAATCCAAAACATGTACCAGCACAATCCAAAACCACATGAAGCTGGAAATTGCTGTTAGGTATGAATAGCGAGATGCATCTGACATGTTTAAATCTACCTCTGCTTCAACTTTTTCAAATTTGACAGCTGTGTCCAGTATGTTAAATTCAATTTGATACAGTTTTATCAATTTGATACAATCGGGTGCCCAGTACAGGCAGCTTGAAAGAGTATTATCAATAATCTTGGCATTTGCTGACCTGTTCGTGGAATTTCTCTCCATTCTTGAAACCCATCAGTCCATTTTCGGTAAAAACAAAATCAAATTGCTTCAAAACTATAATCATAGAAACAGATTAAATCATAATAAAGGCACTATGAACGTATGATATATTAAATTATTCTTTTGACAAGAACAAGCAAAAATATTAAATGCTTCTAGGGAACACTGACACTGAGGCATAGAAAATTGGATGGCCTTAGGTACTGTACCTTTACTTCCCTGTAGAAAGAGAAATTGGTAACTCTGGTTCCCAACCTCACGCATGGAATTCACATTTCAGCGATTAAAACTCAAAGGTTTTTGGTTTGCAAATCGTACCAAAAGACATTTAAAATGAAATACCTTTATATTAATTAAAATCTAAAATTAAATACCTCCCAATACAGTGACAGAACTGAAAGAGCAGGAAATATTCCCCAAGGACGATACATTGCACAAACGGGTAAGTAGGTTGTGTTAAAGTTGTGACACTCACTTGAGAATCAAGCAATGAAAAAAGATAAACACATTTTGCACGTTTGGTTTGGTTATATCAGTTGAAAAATTGTTCGCAAAAAAGTTGCTGTACCTTAATTTTCATAAAAAAATTAGAACGAGACCCCTCCTTCTACTGATCTACTTACTTTCATTTCCACCCATTTGCTCGGAAGCTTTGCTCAAATCTGAACCTCCAACCAATGCTATCGCACTCACTGGTTTGACTTTTTCCAACAAGAAACTAAGTACCTCAGGAGTGATTTTCTGAAATCAGGAACATTCGAATTTGAATAATTACAAAGTATTGTGAGAGTCCGGAAACTTAAAAAGTTACATAAAATTTACTGTCTTTGAACGAGAGTAAAATAACAATTACTGTGGATGGTCAGTAACAGACTTATTCAGTTGTTGCCCATGAGCTGCCTTCATAAGGCACACCTTTCCCTTTATTTTAGGCTTTTTCAGCATCCACTCCCTAGTCTATCAAAGTTATTTTAAAAAAAAACTCCAATTTTTATTTCTGTTTTTTCAAAATAAAAATTCATCCATTTAAATCCCCTTCAAAAAATAAAAAAATTCACGATCGTTAAAAAGTTTGGATACTGTGTCAAGCTTTCGGCAGAGAGCTTCTTACGTTGTCTTGTAAAATATCATACATGTATTTGAGGAATTTCAGGTTTTTAGATTCGGGTGTACCTACCTACATAACTTACTGTACCGCCCAATGCATATCATAACCGAAGCTTATTTTCAACTTTCCTTTAAATTCGTGGGTGGTATTTTTCATTTTTATCAGGAGTTGAATTTAAGATACGATTTTTCTGAACTTTTCCTCTTCAATGATGACTTGTCTTACTTAACCAACTTTACATTGGAGCACTGCATCCCCATTTTCAAGTCAAATTCTCTAACTTGGTTTCGGAAAAATCCAATCAATCCGGAGCACTCATTCTCTGAGTAGAGAAATGAAACATGTAAATCCAAAAGCTTGCATTGAAGTTTAAGTACACTTAATAAATAGAGAGAACACTTGATTGATTAACATAAAACAAAAATAAAATGTCCTAAGTTTTGTTAACCTGATGAAGTGTCTCTCTTTTTTCATATTAAGTTTTTTAATCTTTGTCATAAGTTTCTGGCCAATTTTCGAAGTGATGGACAAGTCCCCAGAATTGGAGGGATCTTTCTTGTTTGGTCAAAAACTAAGTCAGAGACTTCGACTGGAAGATTAAGATTAAGGCACCCCCAAATGACTCGTAAATTGCGGCAAGTCAAGTATGGAAAGTCATTGGTAAACAGAGCAAGCCCAGAACAACCACAATTATTTTAGATCGAAATTTAGCCAATCTTACACTCGCTTCCATTAGACATGTTTTCAAGTTTTCCAATTGTGCTCCATGAGTTTAAAGAATAATCTGTGACATGATTTGAAGAACTCCATACAGAATTATTTCATGTAGATATGCTATGTGATCATGCGAGTGGTCTCAGGAACATGAAAAATGCTATGCTAAGGCTGTCCACTTTCGTGGTGACGGTCTACAGCTGTCATATAGGTAAATTAAGTTATTTGCCTCCAGTGTTATGATCAGCCTTTATTTATCTTGCCATTAGGACAACAAAAGGAGATGGCTAAAAACTAACTAGCTGTCATGTTAACCTAAGGAGCCACTGAACTTTTTAACTAATGAAGATTGGTCTGGCTGAGCCAAATGACAGAAGAAATCTCACCTTTCTTGGGGATGTAAGAGTTCCATCTATATCGAATAAACATAATTTACGACTCATTTTCAAACAGTGAGACAAAACTACTGGAAGCATAAACAATAGATAAGAAAAGTCTTAGCTGACAAGGCACCAAAGGAGTATCCACAGTGGAACAGTTGATGTTAATAACTTGAACAATGTGGAGTTCTTTTTAGTATCAAGTTTGATAAAAAAACGACAGAGTGGAGCTTTATTTCAAGGAAAACTCCACGTTGTCAAACCCGGTTATCATTTTGGTGATAACAAATATAAACAAAAAACCTAACCTCCGTAGGGTATGCAAGATTGCCTTCGTTGCGAATCACAATGGCACTAGGTAACGTCGTCATAAATTTTGTCACGCTATTTTCGTCTCCATACCGCATAAAACACTTGTTAATTGAATCCTCATAATCAAATGCTAGAAATGAATAGTTTTCCTCGGTAAAATGTAATAGTAGCAGTTTTTCTTATATATATCAAACCTGAAGTGTGCGTTTCTCGTTCAAAAAGTGGTACTGCTTCATGCTTTCCGCGGGATATTTGAATTAGCGCTCACGCTCCTCTGCTCCGACAGAGCACAGGGAAGAATTTCATAAGCCGCCTTGCGCCGTCCGCAGCGCGCATGGCGCACGACCTGCCTTTCATTATTACACTTCATCTAGCGTTGAGAGTTCACCTATTATTTCACATGACTAGTGTATAATTTTAAAAGTCGAAAATTTAAAAAAAAAAAAAAAAAAAAAATTTACACGATCGAGTTTCTCCGCCAGGGAGCTCTCCCCGCAAGAGATCGTTCACAACCCGCCCGTCAAGTTTGTAGGCGTCAGTGCGCCGCGGCGCGCGCACTGACGCCTACAAACCTAAAGGGCTACTTCACGCATCGCGCAATGCTTGAAGTATCACCTTAGGTTTGTAGGCGTCAGTGCGCGTTTCGAGCTGGCAGCGGCAGCACGCCGCGCCGTAGCGTGCCATTAACTTGCCCACGATTAGTAGGTCAGTTTAGGGTGTTAAAATGTAGGCGATTTGACATCAAATCCGAAATTAGCGACTCAAAAAAAACACCAGTTACGAAACTTTCGTGATTTTTCAGTCATTATCCGACCTAAATTTCTTCCTTTTCTTGAGTTTTGGACCATTGTGCGCCGCGGGCGGCGGCGCTCATGAAATTATCCCCTGCGCTCAATCGCCTCCGCTCTGCCCGCCCCGTCCTGTCTTGTTTCAACATATTGGCATAATTAGGGACAACAAGTTGCACGATTACATGTTTATTTTAAAGTATGATGTACCATAGAAAAATCCTGGTGAAAAACACACCCTAGCTCCGAGTTAACGTGCTAAAAATTTAGAGCATCATATTTTTCATGCAATCAATTTTTTTTTTTTTTTTTTTTTTTTTTTTTTTTTTTTTTTTTCACTAATCAAGTATCAGTTTATGAGCTACAAATTCAGGAACTTATACGCATACCAGTTTAGAATCTCCTGACCAGCTGTATCACAACATTTTTCCGACTAATTTCTCGTGAAAATATCAGGAAAATAAAATAGAGGAGATCTTAAAACACCGCAACCGAGATATATCACATATTTTCAGTAAATCGCCGTCCATGTTGAATGTTGACGGCTGAAGCGCGGAGCCACGTACCTCCACCGCGGCGTTTTAAAATTTCCGCCCCCATTTTATTTTTTCGTAGAGAAACGTTCCTACATTGTAATTTAAAATCCATACAGAATGGTTTGCGTGCAGAGACGAAAATCAAGGAAGTTTTTAAGCAATTACTTTGACTAGTTTTCCCAAGAAAAAATTAAATACTTAATTACGGCAGGGATCCCTGCCATACTAGGTATTTAATTTTTTAATTTTATTTAATTTACGTCTGCACCGTCGTAAACGGAGACACGTGGTTTTTCGCACTTCGGTCATCGATGTATGCTTTCGATTTTCTCTGGAAGTATTGGAGGAGTGCTAAATATAATTAAGCCTAATATGTATAACCCACCAGGCGAATATTGAATGAGAAAGGACTACATTAAAAAAAAAGAAGAAAAAAATGCGCAAAAGGTAGGTATGTCAATTACTTATACAACTTCCATTGAAATAAATATCAAATTTTTAATTATTGAAATGGTTCACTCCACACTTTTTAATAATTGGACTACAGTGAAAAGTTAAGAAACATTTGAGGTCAACAAAGATAAATCTACCAGTCACAGGCTGCAATTAAGCCATTCACAGAGGCCTTGAGCAGGAATTTTTCACCAAAGTCTAAGAAGGAGCAGCAGCAGAAATCCTACTAAAGAGGAATAATTCCTTGTTCATGAGCGAGCTTTTGTCAATGAGTATTTCCTGCATTTTGCAGCTTGAATTTTTTTAAAAAGGATCTGAAAAAAAGAAGACGAAAGGTAACCATCGGAAAATAAAATACTAAATTTTAATTGTTTTGAAATTTTCAAATGAGACTAAAAATGAGACTCCTACTAATCATTAGCACTAGTATTGGAAAATCAATTTCTGGGTCATCATCTGTGTTCTGCAATTTTGCAATGAGCAGCATTCTGAAAATATTTTCCTTACCATGAACTTAATTGTTTTAGTAGCTTAATCGATGCTACCATCGATTAAGTATCCCCAGAGCCGGATTAAGGGGGTGGCCACATGGGCCGCGGCCCATGGCGGCAAATTTTGCAATTTTTTTAAATGTAGTCATAAAGAAAAATCGGATTCAGACAAAAAAATTACGAACAAGAAAAGGTGAAAAAATCTCTCATTTCCTGAGAGTATATCTCTTATTTTGTCGTCCTTCTGTGATATAATAGACAGCACCTTTAATTAGTCGAGTTAAGACTAAGAGAGAAACCGAACACGGAATTTGGCCTGGAACGGCGAGGCGCAGAGAGCAATGATGACGAGAACGTAAGATGAAAAGGAGAAACCCTCGGCGCGACGGTCGGCATGTAACACATATTAGCGCCTACAAGACTGCATGAATACTTCACGCATTGCGCCAAAAACAGTGCGGTCGCTGCGGTCAGCAGCGGGCAGCGGGAAACGCATAGCGCCTACAAGCCTGCATGAATACTTCACGCATTGCGGCAAACATAGTGCGTGCAGCAGCGGTCGGCCCGAAACGCATATCGCATGTAAGACACTGAATACTTCACGCATTGCGCCAAACACAGTGCGGTAAGCGCGGCGCGGCGGCGGAAGTTAAAATTATTAAACCACATTTATGTTTGTTCTTTCATAATTATTTGGTTCATTTCTTATAAATGGAGAGCTTTTGTCCATACAGAGATAGGTTTAGGGAACTTACTTAACTTTCGCGCCAACTTCCGTAAACTTTTGCTAGTAGTGTTGACAGGGCTTTCACAAGAAATGTGGTTTTTATTGATGTTTCAAAACGAACGAGAAGGGGGCGGCAAAATACATCAGGCGACCCATGGGCGGCAAGTAAGTAAATCCGGCCCTGGCCATCCCAAAAAATATTTAGCATCTATATTGCTTACCTCCATGAAAGTACTTATTCCATAAAAGTGTTCGTAAACCAAATGAAAGAGAATAAAGGACGAATCAGGAATTTTTACGCTTAATGAACCATACTTAACCACTACTTATAAATTAAATAAAAGGGAAATGACGCCAAAGAGCATCCTACAGGCGTGAGACCATTTTTAAACATCATTCAAACCTTACTTTAATTAGGTCAACTAAATTTGATCAAAAACTTACATAATTTTGCCTTTCTATCTCTTGTTGTTTTTGAAGACGATTTACAGAAGCGGCTGTTTTTCTCGGCTTGGGAGAAATATTTAACTGCACCTTACGAGGTCTAGCTTGTGCTGTTATTTTTTTCAGCAATATCTCATTCTCTCTCTCAATCCTGCTCAACTCTTGGTTCGAAAATGTAAGATTTTTTCTCCGTTGACTCTGCCTCCGTAGTCCGCTGCTCCTGGCTTCGAACTCATGGCTCAGTTTAAGGGCCCCTAACGCATCGACCAACAATGAAATTTTGGACTCGTCAAGCGCTGCCTCTGAGAAGTTCCTGAAGTAGAGCTTATCTTGAATATCAGGTGTTGACCGGCAGGACATGAATGCACACGGTGTGACCTCTGTGAAATCTGAATTTTCCAAAGGGATAGGAGTGATGCATGGAAATGATGTGTCCTCCTCCAGAGTTTCCAGCATGTCGCCTGCTCCAGTGGGAGTCTCCGTTGACGTCGATTCACTTCGGTTATCGACAAAATCACCGTTTGTCGCAATATCTGGGTCAGCAAATGCTATGCAATTCGTCAAGCCAGCAGACGACTGTCCTCCTTCCTCCAGTTGGCAGTTTTCAGCAGTATTATCAGGGTAGAGAAAGTCTCTTCTACCCACCACTATATCATTATCCTCATCACATATTATATTGTCAGACGAGCAAGTCGCTATCATTGATATTTGATCAGGATTCACCTCTCGATTTTTGAAAAGGTCATTGACGGTTTTTTCAAGCTCATCCAAGTCGAAAAAATCGTGATCAATGCTGTCTTTAGCCAGATAATGACGACAGTCGACATCTGATAACTTTCTATTATTGTTAACGCATTCCATTTTCAGAGGCTCGCCTCAAAACTTACTCCTCATCATAAAGACGATAGACTTAAGTACATACCGATATTATTTTAACCCTATAAGTTCACTGAAAAGTTTTGTGCTCATTATTAGAGTATGACTGGAATAAACAGGTGCAGCGATTAAAAAGCAGATTTTAGTTTTAGGGAACAGAACATCGGTTGTCAGTGAGTTCAGAAGCATGCTTGAACCATAAAGAAACTGAAATTTCCGTGAAAGTTAACAGAGGTTTTGTTTACTGAAACAGCTGTTGTTCCCTAGCAACATGAAGGGTTGGTCAGAAGTCCGCAAAAAGTCCGTCATTTCAAATTTCGCGCCCTGGCCGCGCAAAGGTGCAAACACCAATCAGCACTCGCTAGACCAGCCTTCGATCTCTTTTGTTTCTGGCCATGACCTTGGCAAATCAAAATCGGAAATCGTTTGAGGTTAAGTTGTTTTCAAGTCACACACATTATCACTTTTTTTATCAGCTAGTTTCCTGAAGACCAATGATTCTCATAGCTTTCTAAACCTTCTAATTTTAGCCATGACAAGCTGATCGCTGCTTTTGTGTTCTAATTATAAATGTTCATTTCTTCTTTTTACTGTGATCCTTCAAATTGCCATGCAGAACATCATCAATTCGTTTAAGGGAACAGCACTTGGAGTAGCAGAGTTTCTGACTCCTGTTCTCAAAGTAAGTTTACCATTTATCAAACCAGCATATTTGTAAGTATTTTAAATATTGCTGTCAAGTTCAAAATTGTACCTGCTCAGATTATAAAATAGGTAGCAGCCTTCCCCATGAAGCATAATTCCTTGTTTCCCTCTGTTGCAATGTGTCCAGCCAGTGCCAAATTGGAAACATGCACCCATGTGACACCAGGCTCCGAGGTTCATTTTTGTTGGAGGACCTGTCAGGTTGCTGCACAAACTCCCCTCTGTTCATATAACAAGACTCAAGAACTTGCATGCCATGTTTTTATGTATACATGCACACCACACCTACCATATTGACACCGAGGGGTGCGAAAACTTACGAACCATGGTACTGGTTGGTACTAAGAAGTGAGGGAAGCTTCGTAGGCAAGAAACATTTTTTTTTTTGCAAGGTTGGGAACACAACATTCAAGCTCGTTGCTTCCAGGGAATGAAACTGTTAACCCTTTTGTGTCAGGCAAAATTCTGCAAAAACCTGAAATGGAAGAACCCTTTGAAGTTTTCGTACCCCTGTTGACTCCTAGTGCTTGCTAATCGTATGTTGGAACATTGTTTATGTCACTGCTCGGCAATGGTGCTGTCTGATTGCCTGTATTAACCTTTTGAGTGGTGCTGTTCTGGAGCTAGTTAGAGATAGACATTTGTCTCAACATACAATGAGAGAGCTCTAGTCATTCCTGTCCACTGTAGTCTTTTTTTTATTGCAATCTCACACACGGCCTCGTTGATTTGCTAATTTTATATATTTTGCCTTTCAGGAATCAAAGTTTCGAGAGACGGGAGTCATAACTCCTGAAGAATTTGTTGCTGCTGGAGACAATCTGGTGCACCATTGTCCAACGTGGCAATGGGCCAGTGGTGATGAATCAAGAGCCAAAACGTATCTGCCTCCAAACAAACAATTTTTAATAACAAGGAATGTCCCTTGCTCCAGGAGATGCAAAGAGGTAAGGATTACAGAAATTTTTTTTGAGGTCAGGATAGTATCACAAAATACTCTTTTTTGAGTAGGATTGATTTCCCGAAAGCTCCACACAATCATGGGTTCAAGTGACTCTCTTGCGCTCCTCATAATGTACATTGACGGTGTAAGTCGGCAATCACAGAACTCGTTTGAGGTGTCTGAAAATCTCCACCTCCATGTTATTTTTTTACAGGAGAACAAATTGACATTATTCCTTGAAGTTCATGCAGAATTTTCTTCACACCGAGAAGAAAAATCATGGCAATTTTAAAGAATTGCCGTTGAGTAGTTTTCCATTTAAAAAATCAAGTATGACAGGAAGTCTGTGATGTCGCAAACCGAGTTATGTGATTGCCGACTTACACCGTCGATTTGTTACAGCTAAGAGCTGCCTGTTGCCCTTTCATAATGTGACAAACATATGATTGATTTATTACTGCTCAGAACTAGAGGCTGTACACATATCCCTCATTGTCCCTTTCTCTTAAATTTTTCCCCCTTGATGGGTTTTCTGCAATTTAACCCTCTATGACATGAATTAATTTTGGATCTCAGATTCTGGGGGACACTAATCTATTTTGTAGCTTGCATAAAAAACATGGAGTACCAAATTTTTTCTCAAAATTTTGAATTTTTGGGAATCAGTTATTCACAGACTGAAGAAACTAATGACAGTTTGCAAAATCATGCCACAGAGGAAAGATTTATCTTTTGAAAACCCGAAAAATTTGTTATTATGAATACGTAACGCTATGGCATAGAGGATTGACTGATAGCGCTACCAATTATTGCGGTACAATGACAACATCATTCATTATTAATGTTTTATTTACTTTCTTTTTAGAAATAATTAAACTAATAAGTTCTATGTAGAAGTAAAATACAATTTTATTCAAAATCTTGTTAGCGTTATCAGATGTTGCTAAAATTTTGCAACATCTCTAACATTAATAGGAATTTAATGGCTTGAACATTACAGTTCTTGCCATAAAAATCTGTCCGGAATTCAGAGACAATTGCCCAACACTAATTTGGTAACGCGAAGGCATTAAGGTTCTTTCACAGTGACGAATGCAATGCACAATCTAAGCAACATGTGATGGCGTGTATTGTATACATATATGCTTGGATTTTTTTCCTGATTCATATATTTACCTATTCGACTATGAAATAATTTCTGTCAATTAGCTTTGTTTCTTTTTTGTTTTTCAGATAGAGTATTGCGAAGAACAAGAGAAAGTAATCGAAAATGACGATTTTGACTCAGGCTGGGTTGATACTCACCACTATGACAATGCCTCAGGGCTTGAAGATAGGGTTTCTGAAATGGTTTTGGAAGCACCTGTAGGTATTAATTTGTAGAAAATGCATGAATAAGAAAAGAAAATTAAGGGACTGAACTATTTAAACTGTCATTTTTTTTAAATTTTTCTGTCAATTCATTTTTCATTATTGCACATATCATCTACAACATGAAGGAACATATCGATGGCGAAACTACCAGACCACGTATCTCGTTTGCGGTGTTTAAAAATCTCCACTCATGTTTTATTTTTTTGAAGGGGATCAAATCAATATCGTTTCTTACAATTTTCACAGATTTTTCTCCGCACAAAGAGGAAAAATCTCGGAAGTTTTCACGAATTGACGTTGAGTAGTTTTCTATCTAAAAAATAAAGTATGACAGGAAGTTTGCGACGTCGCAAACCGAAATACGTGGTTTGGTAGTTTCACCGTCGATATCTTGCATGTACTGTTGTAGAATTTCCACAGAAATTTTATTTCTTCCCAAGAGAAGTTACAAATTTGTATAAATAATTTATTGTCTTCTCTTGTCCATGTAAAGAATATCCCTGAAAAATTCAAGCAAAGTCATGTGATGGTTCCCCTTAAAAAAATTAAATGCCAGGGTTGCAGGAAGTTCTTGGCTTTTCCGCTTTTCAAATTGGCCTTCCCATTTTAGATATCCCTTTTTTCCTTAAAAATTTTAAAAAAATGGCCTTTTATGGCTGCGCACATTCAAATTGCTGCGATTTTATGACAATATGTGAATTTGACCGGCAATTTAGCCAGCTTTCTCTCACATAACCTGTTTTCAGGGCCCTCCCATTTTTGCACGAAACGGATCCCAAACCGCCTGGTCATGTAGTCAAAAATTTTTTGCAGCTTTGTCAAATCTTAATAATTAATGCATACTGACACAATGCAATTGTCTTGATTGCATTGTTTCAGTGCCCCTTTCTCATATTATCAAATCTCTAGTGTTCAGATGAATCTGATTTTAAATCCACAGGTGTAGAAAAAGGAGTGGAAAGCATAACAAAATCGACCACCTTGGTCTTCGGTGTCTTGTTTTCTATGTATTACCCCAACCTGTAGGGGTGAATCAAGAAACCATACAAAAAAGCACTGTCAGCATTGTAAGTTATATTGGGCAAATTTCAAAATAAAATTAAAATTTTTGCAGATAGAATTTTTCAAACTTCCCCCCTGCTCTCCTATTTTTCCTGCAATGAAGTCATTGAAATATGTTTCAGAGTGAGCCTAGTCGATCATTAAATATGAAGAGCAATGAAGAAACAATTCAAAAAGATAGCAATAGTGACAGTGAAGACGAAGAAGCTGTGGATATGGATGAGTTTGAAGAAAGTGGACTTCTGGATGAAGCTGATCCAGTATGTATCTCGACACTCAATTCAGTTTTATGATACTAATGCAAGAATTTTCCAAAAGCTCATCTCATTAAGCAAATAAGGGATAAAATTAATATAGACTATATTGAATCTGTCTGTGCTGTGATGTTCCTTCATGTTACTGGTGAAAATCCCAGACTAAGGTTAAACTCCGGTCTAAAAAATCCAGAAAGTCAGAGAATATACTGCGAACTGGAAAAGCCAGAGAATTTTGCAAGTAGTACGCCAACTCAGCAACCTCAGCCGGTGCCATTTAAAGGAGTATAAACAACTTTTGAGTGCCCTTTTTGGCAGGTATAATCTCTGAAAGTTTTGTCCGAAGTTTAGCAAAAGTGAGTGCAATTAAAAGAAAAACATAAAAGTGAAAGTTTCCTTTAAAGGTCAGGGAATTCAGAAATTTTGGAGCTATGGAACAGCAAAAAAAAGTCAAGGAATTGGAAAATAACGAAATTTCGAAAACTTTGCAGACATGAGCAAAGACACCCTACTTTCCTCACGGTGAGGAACTTCGGTTGACAGACGCAAATTTTGAGCCGTATTTTAAGGACGTAAGACATGCTCTTTTACATTCTGATTGCATGAGGTTGAATTTATTATTTTGGTTTGAATTACGTTGCCTGAATTTTTCTCTCATTGTATTTATTGTTCAATTTATAAATCACATTGCCTAAATTCTCAAAACCAAAAGCCGAGAGTTCCATTGTTCCTGTTCTTCTAGATAATCTATATTATCTAATGTTTCTTTGCTCCTCACTGCCTTCGTAAATTTAATTTAATTGATGTAGACGGGTACAAGGCAAAAAGTTTTTATGGTAGTTACGGTATTTTTAAATGAAAAAACAAAACAAACATAAATTACACCTTGACTGTTTCTCATTTTCAGTCCTCGTTGAGCACCGCTCAGAAAGAACCAGAAGAAGTTGACAAAGGAGATGAAATCATCAGAACGCGCACTTATGATTTGTATATAACTTATGATAAATATTACCAAACTCCACGGCTCTGGCTCTTCGGCTATGATGAAGTGAGTATTCATGATCTGAGAGCTCTATTAACACAGAGCGAGAAGTGTGTCTAAACTCTAGAAAGATGTCTGTGAAAAAGATGAAACTCCAGCCGGGTAATCATAGTGCCACAGGAAACCTTTGAGGCCATAAATTATCAGCTTTCGCAAATTATGATCAGACTCAAGTCTGAGCACATGGCTAAAAGCCAGCCGAGAAGAGAAATTTGCGGCGGGGTAACTCATGTGCTGAAAGGCTTTACCTACCCAGCTGTATTTTAATGAGTTAGGCACCAAACGAAGTGTTGGAAGTATGAATTTTCCTTCAGCCAATTTCCTGAAGTAGTTCCAGAGGTTCTCCTTATTCAATGCTAAATATATACTTATTTTGGAGAGTTAAAAATTTTTATTTCAGTTATGACAGCTCAAGTGTTCTTCCTATTAATGACTAACAGCAAAGAAAATATAAAGTGAACATTTATATGAAGAATCTTAACCTCCATCCAAAAACAAAGACCCATAGAAATGGGCCTTTTACACACAATAGATACAGCCAGCAGCCCGACCACAGACTTTGACTTCCATCGATATTGATAGAATTCAGTTCCATTCCAATGGAATACCCCAATCATGTTTGGAATACCTCATTGGAATGGAACTGAGTTCTATCAATATCGATGGAAGTCAAAGTCTATGGTTGGGCTGCAGCCAAGTAGACTGTTTGCCTGTAAAATCGCTCAAAAATCACATCAAGCAGAAATGTCAAGTATTTACTTCTGCATGCTTAATTCGCATATATTCTGTTGAATGAAGTGCTTAAAGTTATTCCGTTCACGGGCAGTTTTTTCTTACTCACTAGCCATCCAATTCGCCCAAAGAGGATTGCAAGTAACCTTGAACAATTAATCTTGCTAACTGTCGCACATCTTACAGATGCATGATTTCAATTATTAAAACATTTCTGTCTGAAAGTCCAGTGTTGAAGTCTTATTTTCAGTTAACTGTAATTCTTGTGAGCAAAATAACCATTTCATGAAACTTAAACACTGATTTTGTAAATTTTTCTTTAATGAGGAGACTGAAAATAGGATTAATTCGCTTTTTACTCTGGACACTTCTATATATTATTTTTAGTACTCAATGACAAACTGGTTTTCCAAATCAGCACTTTGCTCATATGTCCGAAGGAATAAATCAGCTCATCACAGTAGTGTTCACTAAATTTCGCAAAACTCCTAAAGTTTAACATAAACTTCAACAAAAATGTCTTTTTTTCCCTCAAAATTTGGTTTTTCAGATTGTAAAGAAGATCTGAAAATCTATTGAATTTTGTTGTTTTTAAGGCGGTCAATGTTTTTATATTAGATTATTTTTATCTAATTCTAGAATCGAAAGCCCTTATCTGTGGAACAAATGTATGAAGATGTGAGTCAAGATCACGCTAAAAAAACTGTTACAATGGAAGCCCATCCGCACATTCCTGGCCCACCCATGGCATCCGTCCATCCTTGCAGGTTTGTCCAACATTCCTAAGGTTCATTCTCATTTGTTTTCAAGTTCATGGAAAAAAGGAGGATCTTTGGAACTTTTGATGGCAACTTTGTCAAATAAATTATACAGAAGCACAAGGGCATCGGTCAGTCAGTTGAAAAATTTGGGTAACTAAGCCATTTTTGAAATTGCACTCAACGCTATTCAGAGCACAGTTGATTTCAGACTTATCAGTGCAATGCCTTTGGAAACCGTTTGGCTGTGAAAAAGGTGCTTTTGATTTGAGCAACTGTTAATTTTGTCAGGAAGATTAGGATCAAAATTCCTTTTTTCCCCCTTGGAAGCGAGTGTTCTGAAAATCATTGATGTGATATTCCCACATCCATTGAAAACTTGTTTATTCTTTTCAGAAATATTACTAATTTGATCAAATGTTCAAATCAAAAGAACAAAATGCCATCTTGCTGTTGGTATTAAATTTATGATACCTAACTCAACAGATCCTGTATGATATTTCTTGCAATCAAATTTTCCTAAAATAAATTGGGAAAAAAGAATCACTGACTTCAATTTCACTTTTCATGCCTCTGTGATGAAGGTATGTCATATCTTTCAAATTAAATTAAGATGTATCGGACTGTGCAAAGGACAGGGACCTTAGCACAGAAAATTTATGATTCGAGCCATTGGCTTTTCTGCTTAGAGGGGTGCCCAAAAATGAACTAAGTTGCTTGTTATTTATTTTCTGAGGCGTGTGACCATGCACAAAAAAATGATTTTAGTCCATTGAGGCAACATTTTCAATCTAGTGATTTTGGTCGGAAAATTCCCGGGTTTTAAGGGCTCCACAGAAAACTCACCGTTGTCCCAAAGATTGAACCATGTTGACCTGAACCATGCCGCCCAGAACTTTCTGGGCAGCACGGTTCATTCTTGTGCCAGTCTAGGGCGTAAATTGCTCTGTAATCCGGCTATTTTGTTTTATGAACTCAGCAAATTAGGAGCAAGGTAGCTTTCCTTGGAACTTTTGATTTTGAATCTCTAACTCCATAAAGTCACCTTGGTTTGACATTTTCGGGAGTTTCTTTTCTCAAAAAGTTTGTTAAACACATTTCTATGCTCTGGGGTCAATTACTCAATCTTCAATTTCTATGTACTGAGGTCAAATTCTGCTGCATAGAAGCAACATATGTTTTTTTTTTTTTTTTTTTTTAAATATTAAAATCATAATGAAATTTTCAAATCAAAGCTTAATATAATGCCTCTTTGCTGTGTGCATCAATTTTATGAAATTTAGACGAATTTTTAGGCTGCTTTTTGGATCCAAATTTGTCTTTATAATCTGAAAATTAAAATGTTGTAATAAGTCGCAAGCTTCATTAATGTTTTGTACGCTAGTGTTAACAGAAGGTATGTAATCTCAAAATCGAGTGAAGCCTTTAATCTCTCCCCCCCCCCCCATGAGGTTTATTCAATTATTTCATGTTCAAAATGTCAAAAAGTGACTACTGTGAGTTATATCATTAAATTTCTCACCTCTTATCCGTAATTTAATGAAATTTTTCAATCGTATCTACCTCTTTGAATTTCGCAGGCATGGAGAAGTGATGAAAAAGATCATCGAGACGGTGATGGAAGGAGGCGGTGAACTAGGTGTACACATGTATTTGATAATATTCCTGAAGTTTGTTCAGTCTGTCATCCCAACAATAGAGTACGATTTCACACAAAACTTCACGATGTAAATTTTATTGTTATTCTGTTTTCCAGTCTTTGTTTTTTATTTACCATTTTACACTGTACGCAATTCTTCTTTGTGGATTCCATGATTCTAAAATTGCTTGACAATATATTTTCCTTTTAGCTTCTACATTGTACTTTCTTTCATTCTATCTAAAGTTATGTTCTTAGTGAGGCTGTAAGTGCAACTTATCTAAAAAGGTAAGTTGGAGAGTCAACAAGGCAGGGTCCGAAGAGAGAGAAGACTATGGGTAGTTTGCTTTTAGCCTTATGTTATGGCTTGGCCTCAAATTACAGAACTCTGCTAGTCCTCTTTTGGTTAACAAAAGCATGTGTAATAAATAAAAAAGCTCGGGTACAAGTTCTCATTTGTCAGGTGGATTATGACTTAATTCAGTCTGTATTTATAGCTTAAAAACATCACATTTTGGTAAATAAATTGATGTTGTAAGAATACGTAAATTGATGAGCTTCTGTTGCTGTAGATGTAGTCTAATTTCTCCCGATGACAGTAGGCCATTTAATAAATCTTCAGGTCAGATGTGTTTTAAGTGATTTTATATATTTTTCTGCACTAAGGAAGCTAGCTCCCATCCCAAAGAGATCATTCTTTACTAGGGCATACATTCTATCTATTGATTCTCGGGGAAAGATTATTGGTTGATTCTTGTTGTCTATTATTTTTATGTGCAAGTGAGTTTAAAATTTTATTGATTCTTGTTGTTTGGCAAGTCTGCTGCGTCGTAAAAGAGCAGTAAGTGGAATCTAGGATGAGCCTTGAGACACACAGAATCATGTGCCAACCGTGGCTCATACAGAAATGCCCTCATAAAGTTCTCCTATGTAACACGGCAGAAGTCAGCTTTATCGACGGTGAAAATTCCAAACCACCGTTCTCGTTTGTAGTGTTTAAAAGAAAAATTATTTTATAAAAGAGAAAAAATGAACATCATTCCTCGAAGTTTTAACAGAATTTAATTTACACAGTGGAGAAAAATCACTGCAGTTTTTAGAAATTGCTCTCGAGTAGTTTTCCATTTAAGAAACAAAATATGACAGGAAGTCTGCAACGTTGCTAATCAAGATATGTGGTTTGGGAGTTTCACCGTTGATATGCTGAAAGTCCTATTAAAAGTCAGAGATGTACTTCGTAAATCATTAAAGTAGGGCGGCAGAATCAGCTAGTATGAGGAAATGAGTCAAAAAGTATGACAGCGAGTCAAATGGACAAATAATTATTTTCTCCATTCATGAGTGAATTCTAGAAAAAAAATTGCAAAAATTTGTATAAAGCCGTTTGCAAGGCTTCTTCTACATGAAATTCTTGAAAAAGTTAAATTGACTAGCTAGTATTACTAGTTACTATACTTACTAGTTAGTGCTACTATTGTACCTATAGTGTTTTTCTTATTGTGTGTAAGGAAAGAAGTTGATAAAATAATATGTTCGGTACCTATCAATGTTAGTATTCAAGACAGTTTTGTTATGAGGAGCGGACTCATTCTGTGAATAATTAAAGTTGAGCTTGTGGTAAGGTTTCAACGTAAGAAAGGATGAAGCAGGTAAGTTGTCAAGCTTTCTTGAAATTGTATTCAGCAATTAAGGAAAGGATGAATTACCTAATTTGAGTTTATGTCCCTCCTGGGACTGTTAAAATACATCCCAGTCGTAATGAAAAACTGCAATAGTTTTTCACACAAATTGAAACAATCTTTCCCTTCTAGTACAACACTCCATTCAACTTTAAGTTTTTCACTTACTTTACTACTTACTTACTTTACTACTACTACTACTTACTTTACTATGCAGGCTAAATAATTACACAGTACCACCCTCCTGCTTCTTCCTCCTTTCTCCTAATACATTCTTATTCGATAATTTTCAACCCAGATAAACTCGAATTTATTGAGAGTGATGTTGATTGATACTTCGAACAAAACATACCTAACAGAATCCGCATTTTTGTTTGTACTAACAATAAGACAACTGAAGACTGAGATCACTCATAGGGTCCCCTTTCTGTACCACCCCTCTCCCTTCTCCATCATGTCTAGAACTTGCCTGAGGTAAAAATAATTCTGAAAATTTACACCCCCCCCCCCCCTCTCGCATACTCATCATATAAATATGGACACAGATCTAAAAGTGAAAAAAGTAAAATAAGGATAGGAGAGAAAAGGAAATACCAGTGTTGGACAGTTTTCAAGCGATAATCGTTGCCATATTTCATTCGATTCACTTTTCAAGCAGAGTTTGGCCTCATGTGTCGCAGTTTTTGACCCCCCGCCCTCCCACGTAAGGTTCCTCTCGAGTCCCCTCCCCTCCCCCCTTAGTTGAATTACCTAAAATTGAAAAAAAGACCTCGCCTAGATACCTATGGTTAGGGTGGTCTTTGTTCTGTGTTGTAGATGTGCTTTCCAGCCAGAAAATTTTAAACATAAGTACCTATTAACATAAAATTTTAGAATGACTCTTTCTGATTTTTGTTGATTCTTTACTTTGCTGCTAATTTGCGCTGTGTGAGTCCTCTTAGAGTACCTGTATAGCGAGAGTATAGACAGATGTGAAACTCCGAAAATCCATCAGGCCTTCACCGATGCCTCCGCGAATAAAGTTAGGGCCCAGAAATGCAGCCAACCTATGAATTTCAATTGTCCAGAACGATTTATTAATACAATTCTTACGAACCATCGTTTATAAAGCACGTATTTGACTTAGTTTTTGCATAAAATTACTCATTTTTGTGGAAGAACGCTCATTTATGTACTTTCCTAGCCATTTTCGTAAGAATTAGAATCTACCGACTGGCAGTGAAATTTAGTGCGTCAGAAGTTGGTTAGAAGGGTGGCTGCACTTTTGGGCCCTAAGCCCTCCATGAAGCGATCTGTCCATACTCTCGCTATACAGGTACTCTAAGTCCTCTCCAAGACCTCAAAACTTTTTATACAGTTAGTCTTATTATTTCGTCCTATTTGGCAACGCTTCAAAGACATGAAAATAAACAAGCACGTGGTGGTGTTTGTGTTTTAGGTTATGTTTTGTTTTATTTGACCCAAACTGTCGTGCCCTCTTCTGGTTCAGTAGTGTTTTTGTTGAATAAATTCAAGTATTGAGGATCAAAAATTCTTGCTATTAGTCTTGCCTCATTTTTTGCGTGTGCAGCCGGACATGAGTGACACCAGTGATATTACTAGTGATGAAGAAATCAAAATTCCTGAATCGCGACCCTTGTCTGGTCGTCTCTGGAAGAAAACTGCTGTTACAGGAAGAAGGTAAAGTATGATTTAAGTCTCGATGGATATTAAGTTTAATACAAATGAATAATTTATTGACCTCATTAGAATCCACGCCTAATAAGTCTACACACTTTTAGACTGCGGTAGAAGATCATCTGTTGTCATTTCCGCATGGACAGTAAATGTAAGAAGCCACATGGCGGATCTTCCGTCACAGTGTAACATGCCTAGACTTAGTTGGTGCGGACTCTACCTTATGGACAGTTTATAATTTCTGGAAAATATTCTTTAACAAGAAACATTAGTGAGAGATCTCAAATGTAGCTGCTCAAAAGAGCGTTCGAGTGTGCTGTTTGTGTGCGCAATCTGCATTTGAAGTTTCAATAATTACTTGAAAAAATGAAGGCAGCGCTGCACTTTTAATGAGGAAAACTCCAGTTGGTGAGTGAAGGAAGAGAGAAGAAAGAAACTGATTTGGAAAGTGAAACCAGGTGAATGAAGGCATACCTAACAGCTTGCAGATTCCGAGATAAGATTACTGCTTGGCATTGTAATGGTACCTAAGCAGGCTGAGGTTTCCCTACTTTTTCCTTGTTTTTAGCCGGTGCTGAAAGAGAGTGAGAGATCTTTTAGGCTCTGAATCGCTGCGCCACCTTCATTTATTCAAGTAGTTATTGAAACTTCAAATGTGGACTGTGCAAAAACGGTGCCTTGCAGGACGTTGGCGCAATGATGACTTTTGATCAGCATCCATTGATGAGTTTAAATCGATAAAAAAATTGAATATCGAACAGGGCACACATTCCTTTAAGGAGTGTGCAGGGTCCACTAAGTTTTGATTCAGTGACTTGTTAGTGATTTGTCGTGTGAGTGAATGACTTCTATATTATAATCTCATCGGTTACATTAGGTGAAGCATACTTGTTAGTCTCACCTCTCAAAGGTTGGCTGTTATCCGTCATCGATTCTCTTGAGTGTCGGATTTTTTCAGCAATCTAGCCGTTCATCAATGTGAAATTTGTAAATTTACAAAATTTTGAAAGCCGGTTGTTTCATTTGTTTTTCATTTCTGATTCGTGAGATTTCTCAGTCGTTTCTCTGTAGTGTTGATCTACTCCCCCAAAAACATGAAGTTAAAATTCAGCAGCCTATTACTCACTAACGTCTTTCTGTTTGGGTCCGTGTCTGCCAATACACTAGCTTTCACCATTAACTTTTCTCTCATTCTTTCCGAGCGTGTTGTCAGTGGATCCATTAATGTTTATGCTATCATCTAAAGTTTTGATGGACCAAAAATGAAGAACAAAAAAAACTTTCAAGCCCCTAGTCACTTTTAAATGCAAATTACATGCACTTTAATTTTCATAAAACGGAGGTACCATGCAGAAGAATTAAACTCATTACCTATTTGTTGAAACTAAATCCTGTACTCACATTGCAAGACAACAGGAATTAATCGCCAATAAAAATAAAACTCAGTAGCCATTTACTCTCTTTCTTACTACGTACACACAATGGTATTAAACCTTGCAAATTTCCATTTAATGATTTAATATTTATCATCGGGTAGATGCTATATCTGTTGAAGCTTTGACCCTTACTCTTAATGTTTGCTCGATGATTTTTTTTTCATCCGAAATTTGTGTAAGTAAGGAGCATGGGAGAGCAACATTATTTTTTCTTTCTTTTTGGTTACTACAAGTTCTTATCCATAGATTTTGCCTTATTTAATTTTTACAGGTGCAAGTTTGGCCTAGTTCAAGAAAAAAATAAAACAGTGGAAGAAAAAGTTCGCATCAGACAAGAAGAAAATCTTTTAAGACAGATGACAAAGGACAACCTGGCCCGAATTGAACGGCTTAGAGAAGAAAAGAAAGAGAGGCGAAGGAAGAATATACAGAAACAAAAAGAAGCAGAACTGAGATCAGAAGTTGTGCAAGTTGTGAGTGAAAAATAAATTCTTAGAATGTTTTTTTACTTATGATACTTAAATCAAGAATGCAAGCTATAAGGTGTAGGCCTCAAAGTAGTGAGGGTGAAGTCTCAATCAGTTTGAATTATCAAACAAACAAGTACCGAGATAGAATTTAATTAACATGAGGAATTTTCTTATTTCTTTCAAATGATTAGTTTAAAACTGCCTCAAGAGAGGTTGCTCTAAGAGGGAGCTTTTAATGGTCCTTTTGGTATGAACAGTTCAAGAAAATGAGAATCATATTTTTCAGTTAAGAAACTTATGGAGCAAGTTCATTAAAAAAATACTAGGTATTATAAGTACCATTTAAAGGAAAATAAGGAAACATGTAAGTTGGTGGTAGTAAGAGCTCAGAACCGAATTAGAAAACTGGTACCGTTCCGGCTAGGGTGTCCCATAACAAGTTGGAGCCTCAAAAAGTCATGTTTTCTGGTTATAAAAGAGTTTCATCTGGTTAGAAAACACTTTTGGCCAAGTTTCAGATTCTTAGGTAAAGTTTAAGTGCTGCCGCATTGCACATTTGTGAAATTAGCGATCCTGATAATTGAAATTTTTGACGATTTGACGATGTTTTTTTCGACGAAGCAGTCACGCTAGAGCCCCAAAAATCTCAATTCTGGAGATTCCAAATTTCACAAATGTGCGATGCTGCAGCACTTAAACTTTACCTAAAAATCTGAAACTTTGTCAAAAGTGTTTGCTAACCAAATGAAACTCTTTCATAACCAGAAAATGTAACTTTTCGAGGGTCAAACTTTTTTTCAGACACCCAAGTGCCGGCAGCATCAAGATCAAAACCCAAACATTGCCAATGTTGGGCGATCAGCCAAAACTCCCCTTGCTACTTCTGCTTTGCAATAATTGCGAGTTTGAAAAAATCGACAGACTGTGTCAGCTTTCTTAGACGTCACAATGCCCCCCCCCCTCCCCAGTTCACGGGCTAAAGCCTGATTTTCAGGGGCGTTTGGCGCTCAAAGAAGGCAACACTGCAAGGCAAAATGCAGACCTTGTCCATTGGCCCAATGAGGATCTTCTGAAAAAGTATGCAAAAGTCTTCTCTCAGTTTCTTCCACCCCTTATGAGCAATTGCCTAATTTTATGTAATTTGATTTATTTTATTGCAGATTAAAAATCCAGCTAAACTGAAACGATTGAAGAAGAAGGAACTGAGAAAAATTCAGAAGCGAGATACGCTAGCCAAGAAAAAGAAGAAAGAAGCCCCAGTGCCAGCTACCAATGACTGATTTAGTGGATGTCGAAGACACTTACGATTTTTTTCTTCATACCGTGTACGAGTATAAGCAACTCTCTTGAGTTGTAAATCAAGGTCTGGATTCCAACGAATGTAATAATCATAGGCAGGATGTGTTTTCTTGTGAACATCTTTCTCCAATCAGCTTATTGTATTTAATTGACTCGTTCAATATAAATAGATTAAGTGGCTGCATCATTCAATGTATCTTCGCCCCATATTCTGCCATTAAACCATATTATCATTCTGTATAGATTTATAGATTTGGTATAGATTAGCAAAAACTCTAAGAACAGTCCAAATGCTTCCTTTCTACATCCAATATTAATGGAGACACTGCCTTTTAAAGTACACTGTGTATGATGTCATCCATGGCGATAGTACATACCACACGCCTCCACCTTGGATTGATCGTTTCGAAATCATGGAGTTATAATGTAAGTGGGAGAGCTGGCACCACTTTTAAGCATTTTCCAGGCCCCAAATTCCGAGACTCCTGTGTGACGCCGGGTCACTTTTTCGATACATGATCGATTGTTTTTGATACACGGGTACCAGGTCATCCGATGTAAACCAAGAAGATAGGAATCACCACAAACTCCACACTGCTATTTTGGATTGAACATGTATCGAAAAAGTGACCGAAGCTCGGTGCACACTGGTCCAGGAACTTGTCGAGTAGAACATGGTGCCAGCTGTCCCATTAACATTACGACTCTATGTACTCTATGTTAGAAATACACACATTTGCACTGGTTGCCGTACTTAAAATATGGATGAAACCAATGGGTTAAGAAACCATGGCATGCACCTCTGCAGTGGACGATGTCGTAAGCCATGCTTTTTACAGGACAATATCTCTGTTAATATTAGGCATGAAAACTAGGTGTTTGGACAGATGGTGTCATTTTTTACTGATTAATAATGTGAAATCATCTAAACACAATTCTTTATTGTTCAAAAGTATACATCCTAAGCTTGAAGTAGGAAAAAAAAAACAGAAAACCATTGTGACTGTTGTTGAGATACTTTCAAATTATTTGTACATGTGACTAAGCGTCTTTCTTCACTGATTCTTGATCGTTTTCGGCTAATATTATCTTTTTGGAGTTTAACAGCTCGAGAGCATGTAAGAAAAGAATATTATTTAGAAGTTCATATCCTAGGCTCAATCAAGAAGAAGAGAAGAAAAAAATTCTAAAGCTGAGCTAGTGTTGCAGATATAATCTAATTTGAATGATAAATGACCCAAAAATCATAAATTGAAAAAAAATTAAAATTAAAATTACGGTATTGTGTCGATTGTAAATCAATTTTGAAGGCGTATATGGACAGTGTAAGTTGGCAATCACACAACTCGTTTGCGGTATCTGACAGTCTCCTCCTCTATGTTATTATTTTGAAGGAGAACAAATTGACATCATTTTTTGAAGTTTTTGCAGAATTTTCTTTGCACAGAGAAGAAAAATCACGGCAGTTTTAAAAAATTGCTGTTAAGTAGTTTTCTGTTTAAAAAATAAAGTACGATAAGAAGTCTGCCTCGTTGCAAACCAAATTATGTGATTGCCGATTTACACCGTCAATAAAGAATCTATACAAAGAACTGGCCTAGAAATATCTATTCAAGAAATCATAGATTAAAACGAGGTGGTGTTATGGGAGGTCCTAAAGAGAAAAGATCAGAAGATACAAATCGCAAAATTGGTTTTCTCTAATATTACGAAAAAATATCTCATCTTCATGCATTGATATCTTCCAAACCCAGCTTTGGAGGGCCAGTCCCTTCGAATTAGGTATGTAGTTTCTTAAATGATATGAAGACCCTATGCACCAAAAAGCCAAATGGGAGGGGATCCGATTCCAGACCTTGGCACTCTTATGTGGAATGGACGAGCATCTTCTCACTATAGTACAAGCATTGTTCTCTATTTTCTTTTGGAAATTCAAACTGTGCAATTCCACTAAATCGTTACACCAACTTGTCACTTAATCTAAAGTCAAGAATTAATTTTCAAAAATAATGCTGCAATTTCATTAGTCTGAAGATTGTAAGTACTGCTCTGTTTCACTTTTCATAATTCTGTTAAGTTCTTTGTCTTTCATGTAAAATGTTATGTATCATCCTCTCTTAAGTGCCAATACAATTTCTCCAATCATAGAATAAAGTAAAACTTTACAAGCAGTTTACTGCAAAACTAATGCTGTGTGTTATTTTTAATTTCTCCTTCACTTTTAAAACTTGCTTGCTTTCTTTTTTAAATTAAGAAACTACCTAATATTTACAAGAACAAACCACAGAACATGATCATTCAACAATCATTTAAAATAATATCATCAATAAATCATCAAAATAATATCTTCCTGACGGCACTCTCAAGGATGTTTCTGCCTAAATCAAGTCACTTTATTCTCTAATGAAATTCAAAAATTGTGCTAAACGTTATTAAATACAGCAGGCTAGGACTTAAAGAGTTTTTTGGACTAGGTACCGCTCTCTTCTTGTGCCGTAGTATCTTGATTTATTTTGCGAGGGTAGCTCAGTTTTCTTAAAGAATGCCTTTCATTTTTGATACGTTGGAGCGCCTAGAATTTCTCATAACACCTCTGTCGTGAAATAGTCGCTTAAAGCGACGTGGCATTCCGCGTTCACGGCCTATGGGCAACCAGCTCTCATACCCACTCTCATATGCGCCTTCAAACCCAACAGGGATACTTCACGCATTTCGCAATGCGTGAAGTATCCATGTTAGGTTTGTAGGCGTCAGCGCGCGCGCGTTTTGCTTTGGCAGCACGACGCTGAGTGACCCACTAAGTGGGATTTTCTGGTCTGAAAAGCTCCCGAGCCTCGGGACCACGCGCAATTGATCCAGGGCCTAGGATCTATTGGGCACTAGGTATACCTTCGACTTTTACTATGATTCAACACTAATTTCGAGATTTTTCTTCGTATCGAAGATCGAGAACAATCGGCAGTACATGTAACATGGCGTGAATGGGTCTGTTGTACGCAAAAGATACAGCCAACTGAATACACTTTAAAAGGGTAAATTTGCTCGAAAAATTCGCACTTTGGGCACATCAAAAATTCCGAAATCCTCTTTTTAGCGCGCGATCTGCGAAGTTTGTGACCCGCTCTCTTTGGACCCGCTTTTCAACGTTTCCCGCGTTTTCGGGCAGTCTTTCTCAGTCTCCGCCCACTTGGTTTGCACAGGCATAAGAGTAAGAAAGAACTACCTAAACGAAGCACATGATTGACTAACCTTTTCTTTTGTATTAGGTATAATTGCTGGTTCAGTCCCGCTACTGCAGTTTTGACCAAAGGTCAGTCATTCCCGAAACCCAAATGAGAATCTTCTGCGCATGACGTCAGCATTACTGCCGCGAAAACCAGAAATGTCGGAAACAATGCTTTTCTTATGGGAGAGAACAAATTTTTCTTAATGAATCATTTAAATTTCTTACTTTTAAATTCTTTGAAGCTTTCTGAGTGTCGAAAGGAACGTTTAGAAATTAGCGTCAAGGGTTTCAATTCAGCTGAATTTGCGTTTTTATATTTTTAAATGATTTTTGAAGTCAGCGATGTAACAAGCCATCTAGTGGTATAGATTCGCGTGTAAAAATGGCTGATGCAGAGTAAACTGTAAAAATGAAAGAACACAAATTCGGCAAAATCGAAACCCTGAATGCTAATGTCTAAACGTTCTTTTCGACACACAGAAAGTTTCAAAGGATTTAAAAGTAAGAAATTTAAATGATTCATTAAGAAAAATTTGCTCTCTCCCATAAGAAAAGCATTGTTTCCGACTTTTCTGGTTTTCGCGGCAGTAATGCTGACGTCACGAGCCAATGGAAAGGGGCTTACCCCGAGCGGGGAAATCTGCGCAATGACTGACCTATATGGATGGATCTTGTTTTGACCGTTAGGGCCATAGTTTAAGGGAGCTAAAGCCAGGATTGTATTTCGCAAATGGATAGTTTTTGCAGAATAATTAAAAAATAAAGAGCAGGAGTAATTTAACTAAATAATAAAAAGGACTCAAATCTACAATATAATGCAGAACAAATTGGAAAATCTCGTCATGTAAATAGAGAAGATTCGTTAACGCGTTCATTTCAAGCGTGATACCTCACGCGTTCCGGAGAGTTCAAATAGTTGTATCCCTGTGCCTTAGCAAGGCGATGGAAGTTTAATATCGATGTAGCGTCCCCGCGTTGTTTTTCGGTTTTCCTGTGCCGCTACTGTAGTTTCGACCATTAAGACCGTAGTTTAAGGGCGCGAAAGCCAGGAATGTACTTCGCAAAAAGAAAATTTCTTCAGAATAATTAAATATCAAGAAGCAGGAAAATTTTAACTAAATAAAAGGAACTCAACCCTGGTAAAAAAGACGACTACCCCTGCGACTAGGAGGGTACATAAATGGAACCAGTGTAGGTAGCCGTGCGACTACCTAGATGTAGTCATGCGACTACCTAGATGTGGCCGTGTGACTGCCTGGATGTAGCCGTGCGACTACCNCCTTAGCAAGGCGATGGAAGTTTAATATTGAAGTAGCGTCCCGGTTTGGTTTTTCGGCTTTCCTATGCTGCTACTGCAGTTTCGACCGTTCAGGCCGTAATTTAAGGGCGCGAAAGCCAGGATTGTACTTCGCAAAAAGAAAATTTTACCAGAATAATTAAAAATTAAAGAGCCGGAGTAATTTAACTAAATAATAAAAGGATCTCAAATCGACAATATAATGCAAAAAAATTTGGAAAGTCTCGTCATGTAAATACAGAAAATTCGAAGACGCCTTCAATTGAAGACTAATCGACTAATTGTATTAAACTACTTCAAACTCTTCTCTTTTCAAAATGCGGCTTGGTAACTGGTAAGTTCCTGCTGAACTTGGTTCGATTCGTTGCTCCTATGGCGTAAGGGTGTATCTCAAATTCCGCATGAGTGGCACAGTGGTTTTGAAGCAAAAAAAAAAAAAAAATGGGACAAAAATGTTCCCTAAAAATGGTTTGCTCGGGGTGAGTCCATGGTACGTGCACACTTAAATTCGCGAAAAATCAAAATCTTGGCTAGTGCTATTTTCTAAATACGCGCTTTGAAATTTTCAAAGTAAATGCAACTTTTCTATTGATCTTGATCCACTTTTTATTTATTTGTACATTGAATCGGTGTTGATCGGTTCACGTTTTCATTTTTTATTCGAATGAAGTCGATCGTATACATGCCCTCTCCTTACACGCACACTTCCATTCATACTCTTTTTTTTAACCGAAAAATTCGCCTTCTGCTGCGTCTGCGGCAATTGTTGTTACGAGTATGCGGTGCGTGCTGGTTTCAGGTAGATACATACTCGACTCTTTGAAGGCGTTTTGTGTGCGAGAGCAATTCGCCAGTTCTCCAACAGGGTACGCCACTTGCGCACATAAACGCCTTCACAGAGTCGAGTATGTAATGACCTGAAACCAGCACGCACAACATATTCGTAACAACAATTGCTGCAGACGCAGCTGAAGGCGAATTGCTCTCGCACATAAAACGCCGGCCGTCAGAGATTCGTGTATGTAATGACCTGAAACCAGCACGCACAACATATTCGTAACAACAATTGCCGCAGACGCAGCTGAAGACGAATTTTTCAGTTAAAAAAAAAAAAAAAGGGTATGAAAGGAAGTGTGCGTGTAACGAGAGGGTATGTATGATCGACATGAATCGAACGAAAAATGAAAACGTTAACCGATCAACACCGATTCAATGTGCAAATAAATAAAAAATCGGATCAAAATCAGTAGAAAAGTTGCATTTACCATGAAAATCTCAAGTCGCGTTTTTCGAAAAAAGGATCAGTCAAGATTTTGATTTTTCGTAATTTTACGTGTACACGTACCATAGACTCGCCCCCTGCAAACCATTTTTGGATACAATTTTGTCGCTTTTTTTTATCTTTTAGATAGAAAATCTCGGCAGATTTTGAATTTTCAGCAAAAAAAGGACGATAGCCCCCGCGCATGAGTCTAAAGAATCATTCTAAATAAAAAAATCGGCAAAATTAAGAGAAATGAAAGCAGAATAGTGTTTGGAAAAAAACCTCACATTCGATACAGAAGTCGGTCAATTCCAAGCGAGCTTACTTGGTTCAGACCCTATCGGCGAAATTTCCATTTCGACCCGAAAAATTTAGTCCATGTCATCCGTACGATTTTGCTCGATTTGGGACGGAGAAAAATATTCGAGATTTCAGTCGCATCTTATGTAGTTGGACTCTTAGAATCGATTTCAAACAGTCCCGACTCTCAGCGAGGCTTCCTGAGCCGAGAAACGGTAAAAAACTGGTCAAAAACGAGCTTTTCTGACTACTTTTTGAATCTCTCTCTGGAGCGTTTTCAGCGAATAGTTCTAAGCGAGGGACTCGAGGAGCTTTCCCGATTGGAAAATCCCACTCGGCGGGTCAATTCCAAGCGAGCTTACTTGGTTTCGGCCCGATCAGCGAACTATCGATTTTGACGCTAATAATTTAGTCCATGTAACCCCTGTCGATTTTTCTCGATTTGGGACTGAGAAAAAAATTTTGAGATTTCAGTCGCATCCTGCGTTGCTGAACGCGAAGAATCGATTCCGCCCGGTCCCGACACTCGGCGAGGCTCCCTGAGCTAAGAAACAGTCAAAAATTGGTCCAAAACTAGCTTTTCGGACCACTTTTTGTCTCCTTCTTCGGATCGTTTTCAGCGGATAACTCGTAGCGAGGGACTCGAGGAGCTTTTCCGACTGGAAAATCCCACTCAGCGGGTCAATTCCAAGCGAGCTTACTTGGTTCCGACCCGATCGGCGAACTATCGATTTTGACGCTATTAAATTAGTCCTTGTAACCCATGTCAATTTTTCTCGAGTTTGGACTGAGAAAAAATGGTTGAAATTTCAGTCGCATCCTACGTAGTTGGACGCGTAGAATCGATTCCGCACGGTCCCGACTCTCGGCGTTAGCCAAGTACGGTAACTTGGAATTGACCCGCTTGAAAACGCTCTGGACAAAGAGTCATAAAGTGGCCAGAAAAGCCTTTTCGACCAGTTTTTGACTATTTTATCGTCTCAGGAAGCCCCTCCGAGAGTCGGGACTGTTTGAAATCGATTCTGCGAGTCCAACTACATAGGATGCGACTGAAATCTTGAAATTTGTTTCTCAGTCCAAATACTAGAAAAATCGACAGGG